CATTGAAAACATGCATTTCTATGATTCCAACAGATGCGATTTGCTATTTTCTCAGATGGACCTCCCTGCTTCTAGGCGATGATGACGTTCCCTTCCGAACAACTCTACAGCAGTAGGTCGGTGTTTAATGCGTCTGATTCGGTTCCAGCGGTGAGGAACTAAGACAGGATCCCTAGATTTAAAACTACTAGTTAGGTTAAGTGATCAAATTGTCTACTTCGTACTCCGCTGTCTTTTAGCTTCATGCTTATACCCACGCCGTCCGCTTCCGTACCAGACATACTTACATACTTACCTACATACCTTAGTTATGTATGATCGGGTGCAGCGTCACAATCACTCGGGTCCTCTTCAAACTTTGCAGTTGACTTTGACAGGTTTACCTCGTGACCTAGATTATCCCCTCATGCCATCATAGAGAATAGCGAAACGGGTCTGCTCCACGCCGAAAAGCTCTTTGCCCGCCTTAGTTATAGAGCTACCGAAGCTAGACTCTTCAAACATCCCTCCAAGCACCGGTATAGTGTAGAAAATTTAGGCACATGGGTCCGAGTGACAGATTCTTTCTAAGGAGCTCCGCCGATGCGGTGCAAACTTTTTACAAAGGACCGAGGGAGAGGCTCTTTGAGCTAACATTTTAGTCATGAAGCGGGCCGCGGGACCATCCATGGATGGGTTCGGCACGTTGGGTGCTATTTTTCTTACCAACGGATCCTCTTTACTACGGTCATAACGAGATAGTCTCTCCGGTTCCCTGGTCGACAGCACTTGCAGCAAAAATTCTCGGGAGCCGGCCTTACCGCAATGATGTGTAGTAAAGGGTCTGGATCAACTCTGGTAGCGCTGTCGATACCCTTTTTTTCCTCTTTAAAATAAGGGTGAGGTTGGGGGCGGCGTAGGTACTGTGCGTCCGGGGGCCGAATTTGATCTAGTGACTGTTCTAGCAACTGTGCGCTGTCGTAAGGTTATCCTTGATTCCCGATATTGCCTCGGAATCGGTGAAGGATGCAACGTGATTTTTACGGTATGGTCTGATTAGGGGTCTGCTCCAGTGCTCAGACCGCTCGCGAAATACCTGGGTAGATAATCCGTAGAGAGTAGGTAATCCGTACACTACGGACCAACAGCAACATAGACTTGTAATAATTAGGAATAGAATAAAATACCTACACTAGATATTTAAAAAGTCATACAACTTTAATTGTTACACAATGCTTCGATGGACGATCTAGAAGCCCTAGCCCGCTTTCTCGGGTCAAGCCGCAATGAGGCTGGTGATTCCGCCGGGATGGAACTGTGGAACGCATAAAAACAATCTAATGCAACCCAGATCTTTTACCTAATACTAATAATACCTAGGTACCTACCTACCTATCTTGTGCAAAGTACCGTTACTAATCCTTGTCCAAGAAATGTCCTTAATTAGGTAATCATATGTCACAGTTTCCGTTACATAGTAGTTACTCTTATTAGATTCGTTTCCTTATTATTATTATTATTTTTTTTTTTGCCGGAGTTAACTGTTCGTCGCGGAAGGTGAGGCTTTTTGCGCACCCTTCATCTTCCCTATTCGTCAACCTCGTCAACCGTTTGTTACAAACGATCACCGACAGCCAAGGATATTGTAACAGGGTGGGCGCATCTCCATTATTAGCAATATGTACTCTTGCACGATACAATACCTGGTCCCCTTGGTTTAGAGAACTCTCTCGTGAGGTAGATACCACGGAATCCTTCGAGAGACATTACCACCAATTTCCACCAACCAATAGCCAACGGCAACGAGCAGATATGATTTGGCATATCGCAGAGCAGATCTTAGCCACGAAGCATGCAAAGTCTCGTGAGTGACAAGGACAACCTGGATTGGGTACGTGCAAAACCGGGAGTCATCCGTCTACTTCTCATCTGCGGAACAGTCGTTGTGTTTCAAAGCGACGCGTAGTAGTGGTCGCTCTTTGATGGCAAACGACATCTGCCTAATAAGCTATTCGGTGCTGGCCTACCGGCGTTGCATCGTACTTCGTTCTGATCTGACGATGTTACTCGCAGACGGCATGACTGCAAGGCAGGCTATCCTAAGCGCTTACAGAACACAGCGGTCCCATACCCCCGTGCCTCTGCCAAGCCTATCATATCATGCTTGTTGCTCAGCCTGCTGCCCGGTGTCCTTTTTTTTTCTTGCTTTCCTGATTCTGGCCAGACTTTTGCTAATCATCCTTGACGATACCGCTCTCTCGGTACTATACATAATACCTTCAACCCGCTTGGGTACATTTAACGGTACCCATGGAGAAATTCAACACTATTAGTAGTGATGACTTCGATTGAAAAATCACCAATGCGCAAGCGCAGCTTAGCATATACTAGTCTCCGAGCTCTATGTGATCAATGATGAACTCAACGGACAAGATGCGAGTCAATTGACGATACAGGGTCGTCGTTATTATTGAACTTTTTCGTTTCCACTTAATAGCTGAGCAAACACTGTCTCCAGATATTGTGAGCTCTTGGCGAGACCGGAGCTCCTTATTGAACGATTAGCCGGTGGGATCGTCTTGTTAGAGATCCCCTCAGCAAGGATAACGCGAGACCTTAAGAGAGAAAAAAAACGACGCGCTAGTTTCGGGACGCGTCTAGATCTCATGATGAATCTAAGTTAGCAGGTTAGCCGAAACCCAAGGGCTCGCAGTCCGGGGAAATCCTAGCCTAGTCGGGCTCATAACTCGCTCGTGAACCCCGAATTACGTACCGGTCTCATCAACTAGCGACACGGACAGCTTCAAGCTTACCGGGCTATGGGCTCTCTCATTGGTTCCTCTATGCCTATGATTCGATAATACGCCAATGAGGTTTGTCACAGCTTAGCAAGCGGCCGAGGAAGAACCATCCAACCATTATCATAACCTGGATATGTCTATTCATGGCTCTCTTTTTACATTCCTTTTACATCGGTCACAGGAATAATCGGCAACCAGTATTTAATGATTACTGCCCTCCGAGGCTGTGTATTTCAGCTACCTCCCGCGCTCTATTAACCCTAAAGGATGGAGTTGACCCGGTTTTTCCTATTCGTTCAGTCGTTATGTGAGTCGACCCTTGCTTCTGCAAGTTGTCGGCGTTAGCTCCTGATCTAACCGTATGCACCCATTGTATGCAGCGTGATTATCTCAATGATAATAATATGCCTAAGCGGCATTATCGAGGAATTACGTATAAACATGCAGGATCTATGATCCTCAGCCTCGAAAATGGCGGTCATCGTCGACATTTTGCTCCAGTTATGCGGAGAAACTTACCTATTGATAAACTTCTGTAGCGTTGGTAAGCGGACCGAAGTTATCATGAATATTTTCGTACTTGCACATGATAAATCAAATATGGCGTCTCGACGTTACATATTAAGACCGTAGTTCCTACATAATACTAATACTACATAGTATGGAACTATAAGTAGTCCTTACAGTCTCTAGGCTTATGGTGGGGTAAGGAATATACGATGACGAGATGGATTTCTATCTATCCAGCCCCTCAGAGGCCAAAGTTGTCTTCTCCGCACGCGTCGGTTTGGCGTTTTGGTGTCGGTCGCGTTAATAGCACGATGCTGCAGGACGATGCAGCATGATGCAGCCCACAACTCATGCAACTCTGCAACTCGTGCAGCTTTTTTAGCAATAGGATCCGTAAGTTATATCAGACTTATGAGACAAGTTCTAAACTAAGACCTGTCTAGCCCGGATGAAAGAGCCTAGTATGAACGTTTCAAGAAGCTGCAGAAGAAGACAAAAAAGAAAAAAAGAAAAACCCCTTTACGCGTATTAGGTGTCTTAGGTATTTTGTTAATTGGGATCTCCATATAAACGCGCCAAGATTTTTCCTTCTCTCCTCTTAATTCTCCTCTTCCACTACGAACCCTGCAGTTGGGTAAGTCTGGCTAATCAATTTCTGCAAGCCATCATCCCATAGCCATACGCCTCCTCATCACTTGTTTCGAGCTAAATAAGAGCCCAGACATCTAAGCTGCATCGAATCAATTAACAGCCGGAGATGAACACACCCGCGCTGTAGGATTTTGTTAGCAAGCACCAATAGGTATTCTGTATCTATATCCTTAATAAGTTGTAAGGAGTGCTGTAGCTAGCTAGGCAGGGGCTGAATGACCCATAGCCTATCTAATGTCGCTGAAGCCAGCTTCTTCTTTTAATGAATCTTAACTAACAGACCAATACCTAATAATACCTGAATAGGAGAAAATACGACGGTACCGCTCTTCCGGTCACTGCATATGCTAGGCACATAACTATACCATTTCCCATTAGCTTCATTTGTCATAGCATCCAAACTGTTGGGTTCGTGAGAGGAGAAACTGATAATTTTTCCACGCAAGGGCAAGTCTACATTTCCTTTTTCTCGTGCCATCTACCAACGCAGTACGGAGAAAAGGGTCAAGAAAAGCCCAGACCGGGGTTCCAATTGGCGAGCTTAGCAGCTACTAAGATCTTCCACAATCTCCGAGCGCTGTTGCTGCTGTCGCCACCAGGCGATTTCGGTTATGCAGGTTACGACTCGTTTGGGAACGCCATGAGCTAACAACTATATCCAAGTTGGCAGGCTATTACATATGTCTCCCTGAAGATCTTTCTGCGTAGAAAATTATGTGGTGCTTTTACTACGACGTAACGAGCGTATGGAGGCTTCGTTATATGCACAGCTAAATTCATGACTACCGAGAGTACTTCAAAATATACCATCACCGATGCCATAGATATTACTCCATACAGATTCACCTTAGCTTGATATTGACTGACCACAAGTCTTTTCATTCTTTTCATCATATAAGGAGAGAGGGGAAGAGGGAGAGACTGTATGTACGATACGCTGCGATGGCTTGCTAATCTCATATATTTAATCTGCAATATAACTAATATAATATAAATATTAACTTCACTCTGGACTTCTCAGACACGACACATATCTTACTTCGCTATGCCTAATATATTCTACCTGCGTCCAAACCTATGTCTGTATGGTTGCTCCTCTCCAATGCCGACGTAGTCTGGCTTCGCAAAATCCCTAGGGCCAAATAATTGGTCTCGCCATCCAGGTTCCTCTTTCGCAGCTTCCCATCGCTCTCCCGCGCGCGGCTCCAAGACTACCTTCTCCCGTGTTTTCGTGACCACCCGCCGGCTAGCTTTGTCGAATTCTTTATCCAGGATTGCTAGCTCGCTCTTCCCGCGAACACCCGGCCAGTCTGCGTCGATGAACGTCGATCCTCTTCCTTTTGCCGGGTCGAGGTTGTGTATGAATATCACTTGATCCGGCGTCTTTGCTTCGGCCCGCAACCTTTGGAAGTGTTCCGGATACTGCAACCCGAGTTGCTTCTCGGTGTCGTACCGCAAGAGCGACGGCATGCGCCTTGCGCCCAGCACGTCTCTGCGATCTTCCCCTAGCCACATCTCCTTCGTAGTCGGCGCCGACCCTACGTAGCATGATTCAAACGGTATCATGCCGCTTAGACGGGTTCTGTAGCTTGATTTGCCTTCTACGTCTTCATTGATCCAGACCGGAACTAAGCCTCCAACAAGCCTCGGTTCGCTAGGCCAAACTGCTCGGTCGTCTTCCCCGACGAGCGATGTGCCGTCTTTTGAACACACCGAAACTCGCATTTCGAAGAGTCTCCGCTTTTGGATATCAGATACTGTTCGGATACTCGTGACACCCTGCGCAGCGTAATACTTCAAGTCGATGTTTAGATGTTGAAGATCATCTAGAGATAAGTTGGGGAGAGTTGCTCCGCTGTCGAGGAGCGTCTCGAAGCAACACGAAACCTCAGTATTCGGCCCCCGCACTATTTCCTTAACGAAACCTCTAGGTGTCTTTCTCATGACTTGTCTCCTATCAACGGCAAATCGCATATTCACTTTATAACTCCCGAAAAAGTAGTTACCTTTACTCCCGTTTGTACTAAGGCACACCGCCTTATTAGCCATCACTTCGAAGCCCGGGCCTGATAATGGAGGTTCTTGCCAGAGCCATCCGGGTCCGTATCTTGCGGAATACCTATCTAACCTCTCCTGTCTGTCTATGCAGAAGGATTGGTATGTGGGGCAGACATCAACGATATGTCCGCCGTAGATAAGTGTAAAATTGTCCGAATATGGGATCTCTCCAGATTGATACCCTTGGATGGCGGCTCGGATGTTGACTTCCTCATCTTCACATTGGCAAGTATCGAGGGCCCAGTTCAGCGAGTCTAGTCGTTCGCCGATGCGCTTCTTCTCTTCTCGTTCATATCTATGAGCAGTTATTGGTTATTATACGTATTTCTTAGAAAATGAGGGTTTAGCGTATTCTTACTGCGGCATGTTGTTTTCTTCGTCGTCCTCCATTTTCGATCGCTCTCGTATCAACTCATCGAGGATTTTCTGATTGTGTGCAACTTCGTGCGGAGAATGTTCCTGGTGGTATCTTACGATATATTGCTGACGTTCGATCTCGCGATTCTTTTCCTCGATGTAACTCAAGTTCTCTCCCAAGCTCCCAATAACTAACGTCTCCCAAGGCTTCCGATCCTGAATACCCTCAGCCTCTGTGAATATCGGAACATCCGCACTTTCTTGTTCAATTGCTGCCTGTGTAGTGTTTGGATTGTCAATATCGGATTTTCCATCTTCCGTCTCTTCTCGCGGCTTGTCTTCGTTCGCAGAGCTAAATCGGGCGCGAAATTGACGTCTACGCTGTTGTCGAGCTCTGCGCTCCTCATCCGGCATTCCAGTCCTTCGTATGGTTCGCCTGCGGCCCCGAGACGACTCACCCTCGGGTTGTTGACCTGGGGATCCCTCCGGGAGATCCGGCAACTGGTTATCATCAGTCATTGCTATCTACGTGCTTTTGAAAATTGTAGAGTGTTTTAATTTTCGACTGTATCTAACTTCTTCACTAATGTCTGTATTGAATTTACGAATAATTGCTGTGCCCTCTGGCCGTGCTGGCTGTTGGCTTGCGAAGAATGGGAACGCCTCTAACACCGCAAACGGAAAGAAACAGATGGATTCGAGCGTCTAGTGCGTTTGTCTTACCTTATTAGCCATGATATTTAGCTGTACAATGGCATTCTTTGTTGAAATCGGATTTTAGTGAAAGAAAGCTAAAAACTGGCTCTGGAATGTTTAGCTTCTGCCCCTGGTAACGACAGGATTCCTCGGAAGAGAAGACAAGAACATGGGATTGTAACTTGTTCATCGCGAGCGGAAATTTCGCCCATCTTCCTGTCTCTTTCTTCTTGCTCATCTGTCACGGTAGACCGGTAGACTCACGCTAAGCAGCGACCCAAACAATCTATCAACGAATCGTTCTAGCCGACAATGAGCTTCGCTCGGTGAACTGGAATCACTAGATACACTACCTATTATCGTTTTTTTTTTTAAAAAAAACTGCTATAGAGCTTCTCCTTAGCTGTTTTCCACTTTGGGGAGTCTAGAACGGTTGTGATTCGAAACAGCGCTCTAGATACGATGGGGGAGCCAAGCCCGACAGCCGGTGAGGATGTTGGGGACAAGTTTTTACCAGATGTGCCCATAGGTCCTGGCGGGAGAGATCCCAGAATTATGCTACCCCTAATCCTAAACTTCCTACTCGACGAAGACGTTTACAAACATCCGCAATGGGATCGTCGGTTTGCGGAGGTTATCAAATATCTCGATGAAGCTGATGAAGGCCGTCATCTAGGCGATCTCGGCTACGATGACTCCTACACGCGCGCCATGTTGGACGATGCGCTCATCATAGTCGAGGTACATAAGAGGTATCAGAAGTGGAAATCCGGTCCAACTCGCTGGACGTCAGAAATCATACCTGGCCAGCGTACTACTGAACGTCTTCCGAATTTTCCTGGTCAATCTCTTATTCAGCCCGCCCTCGAGAGAATGCGAAACAAATACAAGCGTTACGATGAATTGCGCGAAATTCAAACCGACGGTATATTCCCTGAGTTGTCTGCGAGGGGAGTTAAAGCGGTTGAGTACTATCAGAGTGCCGAGGAGCTTTACTTTGAAAACTGTCTTAAACCTGCCACCTACGACCCGCGCATTTTCAACGGGTTTAGATATGAAAATGAGATGTTTGAACAGTGCATTACGAATGGGGTTGAGGAAACTTGTAGGTTAATACCACCTCGACCTGCCGATCAGATTCCTACCATATTTGATGAGGATCAGGAGAGCGATGGGCTCACCGAGGCTGAAAAGCTGCAAAATCTGAGAGAATTCTACGACGCGCGAGGTTGGCAGCGGGCTGCGCTTCAGCAATGCTTAAACATGTTCACCAACTACGAGAATAGAATTCTCAATACCCCATGGCGCCGAGTAGTTTTACCCTACGAACAGCCTAACCCGGTTTTGGAGGACATCGTTTACCAGCCCCGGGCACTTCCCCCAGAGAAGGTCCACAAGAGTCTTAAGGAACCGTATCCTTGGGTATATTGGTATAACCAACATCAGGAGCTTATCCAGGTCCTAGCCGGCTGGCAGCGCCGCCGTTATAACCTAGAAAACTGGCAGGATTTCCAAAGAGCTGCCCTACCCGCCAACTTCCAAGGCCCTTATGTCAATAGAAGCCTTTCGGTATATAATGATCACTGGCTTAGAATGGGCGCATATCTAAGACGGCTACGTAGACATCTACAGGACACATTCGGCATAGCTCCACGGCCTTTCTTGCTGGCTATTCTGAGGGATATCCAAGCTGGGATAGAATGGCGCCCTAACCCGACGAGCAATGCCACTGTATGGAGTCCCGACGAGGCGGAAACCCGTAGACAAGCCCGTCCAGATATTATGAGAAGGGAAAAGATCGATTGGGTCAATTTAGAGTCGTCTCTAAACTTACCTCCGACTATCCTGCTGCTTGACGAATCCGACGCGGCCTGGTTGAGATATCTCTGCCAGCCCTCCCGCACCGAGGCAATGTGCAACCCCAAGCTACAACCGGAGGATAATCTTACTATCCTTTTCGACCAGCGGCTCCAGGATTTCCTCAACAACCCGGGCGCATCTAATGGCCCGGGGATAGCTGGGATAGATATCTTTGAACCGGATGTTAAGAAGTGGAAAGAGAGGCAGTATAAGACTAGACCAACCCTGGATGAGGCACTTGCATATATTAATGGTGGCGGTAAAGATGCTGGGGAGTCTCATGCAAACGAGACCTACCAATTTACGCGCGGGGAAGCCATGGACCAGTTGGAAATACTTCGTAACCTAGGTCGAGTCCAGTAAGTTCAATTGCCATACGTCAAGCCAGTGAATTTATTAACGGGATTCAGGTATTCACAGAAGAAGGACCTAAGTAAGCCCCAGGAAGAGTGGGATACGTTTATCATACGACCGAAATACGTAATACATCCCGAGAATCGTGTCTACTGGCGTCATAAAGACCAGAGCTCGTTCACCTCCAACCAGACTTTGTATCGAAAAGCAATTGTCGAGCATTTAGAAAATAAATATGGATTGAGTGGACCAAAAACTCCTATTGCGAGGGATGAGTTTCAACACATCCTTGATCATCTTGGAGAGAACAAGTTGCCCGACAAGTTAGCAGCAAGTACAGGCGATCGTCCTAAAGGCGCCAATGAGGACAAGGACGAGGACGAGGACTACGAAGATGAAGATGAAGACGATGAGTTAGAGGGTAAAATTAGTAGTCACGACATATTGGAGAAACGGATCCAACCCGAGATTGGTTGGGTTCGGGGCTCATACCCTGAGGGAGGACTAGAAAACACACGCAACGCGCCTAGTTGGTCTGACCTAGTTCCTTGGGAGATAATAGGAAAGATGTCAGCTGCGAGAATCAGCGACGATATGCGTAAGCAAATCCGCGAGGAAGCCAAAAGACACCGTCGTCTTCCGGCTCCGGAAAGGACTGTCCAGTTCTTTCGAAACCTTGCCTATCGAATGGGACGTACGATAGCGCACGTCGAGGAAATTGAACGCAGACTCCAGTACTCGGCGTACGATAGGGAGACCGGAACCCAAAAGATGCACCAGTGGAAAGCAATTTCTACGGAGGCCTTCAAACAGGCTTACGAGCACTGGCACCTTTCTATTGAGAACGGCGTGGGACCAATAGAGTTCCTACCGCCGACTATAGAGGATATTGTCTATAAAGTAGACCCCGACGGGCTTATGCGGCGTGAGTTCAAAGATCACTACGCGGCAGACATCATTCGAGAAGGCATCATTAAAAACTGTGTCGAGAATCGCAACACAATGTACCCCGGCCGTATTGAGGCTTTTGAGGATTCGTCAGGTTATTACATTAATGACGGCAAATTCAAACAGAACAAAATACTCAGTGGTTACAAACGGCCAAGTCTATTTAAATGGGTTACGGAAGCACATAGGCGGTATCAAGCCCCCTATACTCGCGGGGTCTTCTTCCACATGATGCGCTGGCCAGTATACCACCAGGATAGGCGCCTACAAGAAATCATCAAGGAACGACGAGATGAAATGTCAAGAGTAGAGCCACGCCTTCCAAATCAGGCCTATGGCATACTAATGCCTAGGTTCCCCGAAAGACAAGTAAACCGACGAGCAGAGGGTTCGACATGGTATCCTTGGCCAGACAATTGTTGGATTCACGATCCTCCAACAAAGCCAACGACTTCGGAAAATGGTACAAAGCCTAATGCGGAAACAAAGAACCCGGAACGGACAGAGGTCCCAGAACAGACAAAGGACTCTGATCACACAAAGCATTCCTCGAATACAAAGCCCTCGGTCAAGACATCTACTCAAATTGCCCCTCAAGAGGACCCCCAAGAAGTTCCTCAAGCCATCCCTCAAGTGAACAAACAAGACCCGCCACAAGTGGCCCCCGAATATATTCCTCAACCACCTGTTCAAGAGATCCCTCAAGAGATTCCTCAAGAGATTCCTCAAGAGACACCTCAAGAGACACCCCAAGAAACCCCAGCACCTATACCAACTGAACAACCACAACCTACTACTCATACAGACGACGAAGGTAACATGGCGGTGGTAAAACAAACAGTCAAAACGCCGAAGGTCAAGACGCCTCGGCAGAAGTTGATACCAATTACCAAGCCGAGGGAACGCTTCATGCCAGGTCCCGCTGTCTTTCCCATGGCCGAGACCCTTCTACAATCTGTCGTCCTCAGCCGTAAACTTGAAGGCGGTAAGTCATACATACATACACTCTCATACTTGTCTAATCACCTATATACCTATGTCCCTACTTCTATATGGTCATGGTCGATGCTAACCAGGTTGCCGCAGTGCTTTACCCCGAGCCTCGACTTAACTTCTGGGGGAAGATACGCAAGGCCTACAAGGCCATGACAGATGTCGAAGCGCCTCGGGTTCCCTTGCTGCCACCAACCAGCGATTCGGATATCCCTCGCAGCTCCTCTAGGAAGCGCAAGATCCCGGCTGACTTCATCCTCCCGCCTAGCATCAAGAAGGTGGTCACTGGAGGCGATGTCCCGACCCCGAAGCCTGTCCCGACCCCGAAGCCTGTTCCGACCCCGAGGCCTGTCCCGCCTACGCCTGGATTCCAGACGAATGTTAACCCCAGGCCTAAGCCTGCCCCTCGGCCTCAGCCAGTACCCGAGCCTCAGCCTACCCCTCAGCCGGCCCCCCCGGAGCCCACTCCACAACCACCAAAATTTAAGCCGGCACCTCCTGTTAACCCTTACCCCGTACCTGAACCTCCAGTCTGGCCTCAGCCCAAGCCCCAGCCCCAGGCTGAACCTCAGCCTCAACCCCAGCCCGGCCCTCAGGCCCAGCCCGTACCCCCAGTTCAACCACGGCCCGCGCCCCCGGTTCAACCTAGGCCTCAACCTCATCCCGCACCCCCGGCTGACCCAGTTCAGCCTCGGCCTGCACCCCAACCTCAGCCTGCACCCCAGGCTGAGCCCACGCCTCGACCTCAGCCCGTGCCCGTGCCCGCGCCCTCACCTTGGCCTCAGCCAGGGCCTCAATACACGCCCGTGCCCGCGCCTCAGCCAGGGCCTCAATACCCGCCCGCACCCGCACCCGCGCCTCAGCCTACACCCCAGGCTGAGCCCACGCCCCGACCTCAGCCCGTGCCCGTGCCCGCGCCCTCACCTTGGCCTCAGCCAGGGCCTCAATACACGCCCGCACCCGCGCCTCAGCCAGGGCCTCAATACCCGCCCGCACCCGCACCCGCGCCTCAGCCTACACCCCAGGCTGAGCCCACGCCCCGACCTCAGCCCGTGCCCGTGCCCGCGCCCCAACCTTGGCCTCAACCACCAGTCAAGCCCCATTCGTTGTTCGGCCAAAAACCGGACCCAAGGCCACAGCCACCAGTAGGTCCGGGTAATGGGCAGGGTTTGTTTGGTCAAAACCCCCCGACTCCCAGCCAGGCCACCCAGACGTACCGCGAATGGCTCAAGCAGCAGCAAACCACCAAACCAGTGAATCCCACACCGGACACTCCCTCTCGCTGGAAGTACTCCCCCCTCCCTAGCTTGGAGGAGCATATGAAAGCCGAAGAGCTGGAGAAGACCGGCCGCGTCGTAGAGCCGCCGCGCCCGCCCCAGCCCACACCCAAGACAGGCGCAGAGAACCCGCACGTGGACCAACAGGCCTTGGAGCAAGCATTCCCGCACGGCTGGGCTAATCTAGGCAATTGCTTCGGCCTCGACGGCGCCCTGCAAGCCATCTCCTACAGCATGCGTCTGCAGGACCCCCAGTCCCTCTGGCTGCCCGCGACCTCGGCCCTGCGCGCCGCGTACGACAACCCAGACTGCTTCGTCGGCACGGACCGGGCCGTCGAGGACCACAACCACTACGGCGTCACCCTGCTCCAGGCCGAGGCCGCCCTGCAGCACTACGTCCGCGAAGACGGGCCCAACCCCCACCACGTCCAGCTGTGCTGCATCATCCGCCTGCCTCCCGGCCGCGAGTACTACACGCACATGATCCCCGCGCCCAAGTTCACCGGCTCCGCGAAGCCGCGCCAGGTCTGGATCTACTGCACCGGCGCCAACGAGTTCGCGCCCGTGTTCCCCGTTCCGCCGCCTTCGTAGTAGCAGAGCTGAAGGGGAAAAAAAGAAGAAGAAAAGGCTCCTGATATGAAAATAATTTAGTAGTAGTAGTATCCGTGGCGTGTTGCCAGACAGAAGAAGACAGACAGACAGACAGACAGACGCCATGCCCTTGTTCCGGACAAGCGAGCATACATACATACGGCTTCCTAAAATTGGCTTTTCTTTTTGTTGTAATTGGACTAGACAGTTAATGCTTCCTTTTTGTTTATTTTCCAGATTGATTTATTTTTACGTGTAGGTAGGGCGGGCGATGGGGCTGTCGGGGAGGGGAGGAGAGGAAGCACTTCTACCGTCTTGGTCTCAGGGGCAAGGGGTAGGTAGTAAGGTAGGAGAGGAGACCCGTCGGTTTTGTATTTTAGGAGATTCTTTTCGTCTCGTTTTTTTATTTTTAATTGGAGTAGTTATAGTTATTTGCATTGCATCTTCTAAGCTATATTTCCCTTGGCTCAATCATGCAATATCGTGACGGTAATAATATATCAAACCGCGTGTTTAATTGCTACATACAAATACTTAGGCATGCGTCCCCCCCTATTTCGCAATCTTAATTACTAGCTTTCCGATCCCACCCTTTCCTGTAGCCACTTTCTGCGCCTCCTTCCTAAGCGTCTCGATATCTTCGAGCTCAACAACGCGGTTAACACCCTTGACCTTACCCACGGCCATGATCTCACCAGCGCGCTCGAGGTCCTCACGCACACCGAGGTTGCCTGAGTGAAACTCGTGTTTAATATTCGTGCCGCGTAGTTTAAACTTGTACCACAGCTGCGCAAGTCCTACGAGCCAGTACACAAAAAACGGCATTGGCGGCAGCATAAGGCGCAACAACCCCGGCGACGGTATGCTTGCGATGGACGCTACGACGCCTACGTCCGGCTTCGCTAGCGGGAACGTGCTCACCACGATCCATTGCGTGTTATACACCATGTCTACGCTTCCCGGGGGTATGGCATCCGTAAGCTTCTTTACTCGCGTGTAATCGACGACTTGATCGACGAGCCCCGGGAGGTACTGCTCTACGAGCGGGACCTTGGCTGTGGACACGGTGGTAATGATCTTGCCGACGCCATACACATTCTTTAGAACCTGTATAGCGATGGAGCCAGTGGCGCTTAAGCCACCAGATACAAATACGGTCTTGCCCTCAAGTCCGTCGGTAACACCGTTCTCGCGCATAAGGCGTAGACCCATCTCAACGGTTTGCAGTGCCGTAACAACGCTGGCGATATTGCACATGTCTTCGAAGGAACAGCTAGTAGGCTTAGGAATCATCAGGTTCTCCTGAGCCACGGCATACTCAGAGCAGAACCCCTTTTCGGCGGTAATATTCATTGGCCGGGATCGTCCGAATGCGTATACCTCGTCGCCGGGCTTAAACAATGTCACCCCTGATCCGACCTTGACGACAACACCTGCGGCCTCGATGCCGATCTTGTGAGGCATTCTATCTTGGGTTAGTTGAATGAATGGATTTGATGCAAAAGTTGATAAGGGAGAATAATCATAGACATACTTCAATTCCCCGAGTATATACCTTGATGCTCCCCTCGCGAGCTGCGTTTCACCTGTCGACAGGCCCGCGGCGTGTATCTTGATTAATACGTCCTTAGGATTCGTGACCGTCGGAACAGGCATATTGGCGACTTCCCAGCCGGACGGCCAGCAGTATTTCGGCGCCACGAGAGAACGCATTGTTTTTGGTATTAACGCGGCCATTCTGTCTCTCCTTTTCCTTTACTTATTCCCCGAGTGCCGTGTTAAAACTTTCGCAAAATATAAATTGAAGTATATAGGACTGCACTTCCAGTCGTAGATTTAAACTGCACGAATTTTAAACCTCGAAATATGTTCCGGTCGGAGTCATATATATAGGCTTGGGCAAGGCATACCGGTATACTCCAGTTTTTGCTTTCGGTGGGCTTTCGGCGATCGCCCCACATTTCGCCGCCGAGCCCCGCCGAATGCTCCGCCGAAGGGAAGCATAGCACTTGATTCGTAACGGCACATTCTAGAAAGGCATGAGGCCTGCGGGTATCTTAGGGGTTCAATGTTTCAATGTCAAATGCCATTAATATCAAAAGCGATAGCGACTCCGTCCAAGAGTTAGTTTAGCCGTAACTGTCACTATCAGTAACTATAACTACTAGACAATTTCTATTTTACAGCTGAGCTGATCTTGGCTGGGCGTATCTACAAAATCAAATCATCCAACTTGGAACTATCATCGGTGGGCAGCTAGGGCCTATCAACATATTAGGGTTGAGAGGAATCAAGTCAGTTACAAATACGGTCTCATTGACATAACATCGTGAGTCTAGCCCTAAGTACATAAACATAAACATGCTATCTGATACGCCGCCGCTGGTATTAACGTGTGGTACCAAGAGTTGCGAAGAACAAAGTCGGGTTCCAATACCTATCCCCAGCCAATCCCATCAGCATAAATCTCTCGTAATTCTTAATCCGAACCCGTAGGAGCAACACGTCATCTTGCAAAACACCAGTGTCCCCCTTTGACCGAGTACCATGCATCCCATCCCCTTTGCTCCGTCATATCCTTCGTCGCAGACGACTACCTTTTAACCACCAGACGTTTCCACACAATTCTTCCATAGAGCGCCAGCTCTACGACTTATTGCGTCCGATAGAACTTCTTGTACAACAAATGCAGGAGGATATTGACATTGAGTCTCAAGTTGCCCTCGAACACATTCATAAACTGGTGAGATTCGAACTGCGCCTGTAGGAGATCCTCGATCGGGATGAGGGCGCTCGCTCCTGGAATCTGGATGTGGCCCCGGCTACCCTCGAGATTAAACACGCCTACCTCGTCGCATGAGATGGTGAGGTTGATATTACTCCAATCGCGTTCCGATACGCCTTGCCAAGACACGACAACACCCTTCTCAGCAAGAGCACGTACGCTATACTTATAAGAGCCAAATTTGGGGACACGGCCTGAACGCTCAAGCTCTCGTTGGTGATTGTACTGCTTCGTGAACGGAAGGAGGAATCGCTTTTTCCTATACCCTACTTGTTAGCACAGCGCATCTATAGAGTATCGATCAAAATCATCTTACCCTTTGTTCTTCTGCAGCGTAGCCATGGCCTGCTCGATATAGTCATCGTAACTTTTGCGCTGCTGTTCTAGGTACTCAGCCTTCTCGTGTAGATTCCCGAGAGTGAGCCGTACTCCTTCTAACTCTCGTTGACGTTGTACTCTACGACGACTCTTCGTACGAATATCCAGCGCGATAGCATTCAAAATATCTTGATAGTAATTATGTTTTGTAATCCGCCCCATCTGTTCTAGGTGCATGATGTTCTCTAGAGCATTGCGTTTCATGTCGTAGTATGACATTCGCGTTACGTCCACCATGTTGACGTCCGAGTACGCTCCCTTGGTATTACTACCAGACGCGAAATCTTCCCTTAGGATTGATTGCCATTTATGTTCGTCTTCTTGAGTGGGTGGGCGGACAAGGATTTCGAGAAGATTAGCGCCCGTCTGTACACGAATAATGTACAAGATGCAGCGTTTAGTCTCCATAAAAAGAGCCTTGATATCCGCCTCTGGATCTTCAACATCATGGAGCTTAGGTGTCAAGAACATCTGGATGTCGGAAGATCCAGACGCATTCATTTCGCTCTCATTGTTCTTCGCGCTTCCGAGGTCTTGCAAGATCTCACGAAGGACATCGTCGCGGTTGGGGCAGAGAGTCGGTATCTCATGTGCTACGAGAGAATGGATTGCAAAGATATCCGTCATTTTGATATATAGCGTGGGTCGGTTCTTGGCATAGAGATCATTGAACTCGTCGATATCAAATTTATTTTCAGCATCCGCAACGGAGATCAAGTTATTCGTGATATGAGCAAGTCGTTCGATCGACTCCCCTACAAAGGCATTAAGCGGTTGTAGGTAGATATTCTCACCGCCGAACGGACGGCCCGAGTATATTTGGCCAAGGACTTTAGCAACCTCGCCTAGATTGCGCTTTTGAAGAGGGCTCAGAGTCTTCTCGATTACACCCACCTGCTCGGGGTTAACCAACGCAGGCTGTAGGTAAAACCGCCAAATCCAATTGCCAACAATTTGGAGCACATGGTGTTGAGGCTCGCGCTGAAAGCGTTGGCATAATGCTTCGAACATCTGCCGGCAGATAAACCGTAGGCCGTAAGGCATTCGGGCAAGAAAATCCTCTAGGGCGAGGAAGTACTGGTCCGAGATTTCTCTGAGATCTCGAAGGTGGTCAATAAATAACTCGCGCGTTTCCGGGTCCTTGATTGCCAGATCTCGGGTTATGTCGAGTGGTCTTCGGCTGGGGCGACCGGTACGTAGCTCTTCGTTATTGATGGCAGATCTGTATATCTGCATCGGGTCGCTCTCTAGATCTAAAGCGGGGTCCTCGACGATATTGTCTCGTATTAATGGGCCGAGTAGGTCCCTGAGGTATTTCCTGTCTCGTGGCGACCGAGAATAATTCCCCATTAGCTTCGACCAGAAGAAGTTTCCGCGAAGATACTCTTGGATGGAGTTACATGCGTCCACCTCTTCCCGTATCGATCTTGCGATAAGCTTGAGCAGGTAGTATTCTTCTCGCCTCTTTTGTGCATAGCCGAAAAGCCCCATCATGAGAAGTTCGATGCGCTTACACTCCTTCTCAGCTGTACCTAATTCCCTCAGCCGTCTGAAAAGCCGCGCTAGGTACTGTGGCTGAGTTTGAAGGTTGAAAAATAATTGCTGATAGGACTCTAGCTTCTTTCTCGAGCTCTTGTTGAGAGCTTTTAGGTCGAACTGATTGGCCGAAGCAATAGAGGCGTTGGCTAAGAGACTGCTAGTGTGTCCACCGAAGGTATTCTGATGTCGGACGACTTCGTCAAGAGTGATCTTGTTCTTCACCAACAGAGCGATTTTGATATCCAACTGATCGATATACTGCTCAAGCATCTCGTTCTGTCGAACTTGTTGAACCACTGTTTTTCGTAGTCTCTCAAATTCTATCTCTTCGTTGAAATCGAAGTCGCTGTCATTAAGAAGATGTACAAAATTCTTCACCGCACCAACTGGAGGGTTCTTTCCGGTCGTGAGGCTTCGGTATGCCTCTCCCTGGAGTTTAGCGCGAACGAAACTTTGAATCTTGACCACCTTCTGCATGTTTTCTTCGAAGTGTTTCTTCTTGGCGGCAAACTGCTGTCGAACAATAAAGCCCTTGGCTAAGGATTGCAACTCAGCTATAGACTCTTCATGTTCGTCAAGTTCGGCTAACAATTGACCGACATCGCTACGCAGGAGCATGGCTCGGATAAGGGATTGCAACGAGACGATTTCGTCTTCATGCGTTTGTAGTTCGTCGAGAAGTAAAGAGTGCTGCTCTCTAAATAGGGACCCGCGGATCCGAGCCTGAAGATCTATGATACTCATAGCGTGGCTTTCAAGAGAGTCGAGATCGGCAGTGATCCGCTGTCGTTCGAGCATGCCTCGAGCTAGTGACTGAAGCTCAAGTATGGATGGTTCATTGTCGCTCAAAGCATCCAGCGTTTCGGTAATATCCCGGCGTACTGCCGCTGCGCGAATATGAGCTTGCAGAGCTCCAATCTCCGGGGTATGTTGTGCTAGGTCAGCTTTTGTTGCCTGGATATCTTGTCGAAGTAGGTTACCGCGACATATTGACTGGAGCGACTCCCATTTTGGACCAAAGCTAGCCAGCGCTTCGCGTTGTTCGTGGATATGACTTCGCGTCAGCATCGCCCTGACAGCAGCCTGCAAACTAGTAACGGTTTCAGTCTCCTCTCCAAGGGAGTAGAGATCTCGGCTAACTTTCTCCCGCGCTAACATTCCCCGTATCGCGGACTGAAGACCAGTAACGGCCTGGGTTTCTTCTCCAAGGGAATAAAGTTCTTGGCTAACCTTTTCCCGCGCTAACATTCCTCGTATCGCGGACTGAAGACTAGTGACGGCTTGGGTTTCTTCACCAAGGGAGTAAAGATCTTGGCTGACCTTTTCCCGCGCCATCATCCCCCGTATTGCAGACTGAAGCTGCAATACCGGACCGGACATACGATTCGTCTCCTGCTGCTGAGAAAGGAACTTTTTGCGTGCCAATTGGCCTCGGAACACGGCTTGGATGCTTCGTATAGGACCATCCGCCCGTGATAATTGGGATCGAGTTTCTTGTACTTCGTCACGGACTCTTGCGGCCCGTATTAAGCTCTGTAGCATCGTAATATCTTTCTCCTTGCTCTTCCAATAGTGTTCTCTACGTGCCATTCTATTCCGGGCCAGGAATCCACGAGCAGCACTCTGAAGATTGATAGCAAACTTGCGCATCTCCAATCTGTACCCTATAACCTGGCGTGTCCAGTCACCGCGAATGCGCGCTTGGAGGTCAATGAGCCAGTCTTCCGAGTCCCAAAGTCCCTGCATCATATGGCCAAGCCGCAGTCGAAGCATCGCACCTCGCATCTGCGCCTGGAGGTCAAGGATGGCGGCCTCGTTTTCGGATAGTTCGCGGTCGATTCGTTCCTCTTCAGTCTCTTCAGGCTCAGGTTCAGGCGCTGGCTCCACGCCGAAGTCCGCGCCCATGTTCCCGAAGCTAGGCATACTAACGCCGAGCTTGTCAAGACCCTTTTGCATAGCCTCCAGCTCATGATGTTCAAACTCCAGTTGGCCAACCAGATTGCCTATCCTGAAATCCACAATACCCTTCCGGAATAAAAGCCAACTTAGGGCGTGTATGCAGTATATGACCTTGGGAATGTTCTTCTTTTCGTAAAGGTCAATCAGTTCGAATCGAAATAAATCAGGCAGCTCAACCTCATCCAGGTACCGGAAAAAAGCAGCAACATTATCCCAATGTCTTGCCTGAAGTCGCGGGTTTCGGAATATGCGAAATTTTCGAGTAGGGTTCAGAGCCTCTACTACCTCAGCCAAAGTGACACCATCTCTTAGAGCTTCTTCTAACTCAACAATAGGTGGAATGTTACGTTGAATGACATCCTCAATCCACTCTTTTGCCTCGCCAATATGGCAGAGATATTCGTATGCTTGGAGAAATTGTCTCTGCTTATCCATCCAGTTGCGACCTTCGAATCCATAGCGATCACTGCGTTGTCCACTCCTAGAGCCATTCGCATTACCTGCTCGCTGCAGTCTTCGTCGTCCACGCAGGCCGACTACCTCCTGGGCCTGGGAAGTAAGGGCGAATTCATCGGCAGAACTATCCTGGGCTAACTTGGATAAGGTACGCAGTTGGTTTGTGGAGGAACGACCCATCTGTTGTAAGTCTGGAGCAGCAAGAGTAGTAGGATGGACTACGAGATGAGAGGAGTGCGTCGGGCTCCCGGAGAAACTTGGGCGTCTAACATCGGATCGTGTGAGCACCATGGAGGTGGGCCGGGCGTTTGGCGACTTGCTTTGGGGAGTAGGGGAAGTTTTCTCCTCGCGTAGAGAAAGCTTGCCGATGTCAATACTCTGCCCGCGTTCTTGGCGGTCGCGACGTGGGGGCGTCTTGGGTTTTTCGAGTTGCTGTCCTGAAGCAGGTGGCTGCGGGAGCGGGCGTAAAGACTGTCTGGCCAGGTTATACATGATTTCCGGGTTCGCCTTAGGTTCGTCGTATATACTTGATCGCGGTTTGGAATGCCGAAGTGCAGTTTCGCTCATACCACGTTTGTGTGTAGCGATAGGTCTGCCATAGCCGTTCGAAGTTATCGATGATGCTGCGCTAGGTGGTCCAAAGTCAGAAGGATCAGTATTATTAGAGTTGGCGGAGTAACCAGACGACGCAGACGATGAAGCGGCCGACAGTTGGCGATTGATAGAATTGGCCGTTGTGTAGTCAACAGTATATGATTGACGAAGAGGATGAGGCCTGTTCGACATATCGACTACTAAACCTGTATGCGATGATGTTGCTCTACGTCAAGTTGAATTATACTACTGTCCGATATTGGAGTCCGCATCACAGCTGTCGGAGCTGAAGTATGTTAGGGCGTAGTCGAATGATGATTATCGTATGCGATACCAGGTTGTAATCTGGAGTTACCGGCAGCCAGTCTTTTCTGCCTTATTTGAATTCCAAAGTGAGTTGTAAGTTGTAAGTTGTAAACAAAGATACGAAAGCGAGGACACCGAGGTGAGAGGTGTGTATTAGTAGGTAAATGTGGGAAACATATCCAGTAACACAGAACTATTTCCTTGGTCTCGGAGAACGCGCGCTCTCAGCGCACTCATTAAAAGTAGGATATTTCCTACGATGTTGTTGAGAAGAAGAGTGTGATGTAGAATGCAGAAAATTAGCTTTCAATTAAACAATTAAACACTGGTCGACGGTCAACGGAGAGCGGCCTGAATTCAGCCTTACTTGTTGTTTGATGGGTGTCGGAGCTTGAGGGAACCAAAAAACCGATGACCTGTGACCTGTAATCCTGTTTTTGGAAGTTTGTTTATTTATGCGGGTGGGGAGCAACGGACAGTTATGGACGTCTGCCCCTCACTTGACCAACCACAATCAACGCCACGGACGGGGGGTAGTGTATCAGCCACAAGATGCTGCATTCACAGATAAGATAGATCATGTGGATTCGCCAATTATGAATGATCATTGGTTAAAAATCTACAGTACTAATGTGAAACTTGGTTTTTATATAGACTTAACGTGTAAAATTAAGTTACGACAAGGTTGCGCATTAACATGATAGCCCCGCACTGTACCTAAAGTTTGTGCAGGGACCCCGCAGCAAGAACACAAAATTTTTTGGGAAGTGCCTCGAGGCTTTGAATTTTTTTCTTCTTCCTTTTAATCGGGAAGAAGAACATCGTTCAATTCGTCGACCGGTCAATTTCATTTCTCGACGTTGTCTTCGACCTCACACCTCTCAGTCTCTTTTAGTCAAGATGCCGTCTATTAACGGATCGACTTCTGTCAATGGCAGTTCTAAGTTCCTTGATTATTCCAGCGCTGTTGAGACGCTGAAAGAATACCAGTCTCGCGATGGTCTGGCTATTGAGGATCTTGTTGACACCAAGCAGCGCGGTGGCTTGACGTACAATGATTTCTTAATCTTACCAGGCTATATTGGTTTCCCTGCCTCAGAAGTCGCACTTGACTCGCCTATTACCAAGAGAATCACACTGAAAACCCCCTTCGTCTCATCGCCTATGGATACTGTTACTGAGCATGAGATGGCCATTCATATGGCTTTACAGGGTGGTCTTGGTGTCATCCACCACAACTGCTCACCAGACGCCCAAGCCGACATGGTGAAGAAAGTCAAGCGATATGAAAACGGCTTCATTGTCGACCCTGTCGTCATTAGCAAGGAGACCACTGTTGAGGAAGCCAAGGCCCTCAAGGAGAAATGGGGATTCGGTGGTTTCCCTGTTACTGGTATGTCTAATCTTTTTTTTTATGGCTCTTGTCCCACTCGATCTCGTCCTCCTACGGCCCAGCGCATGTATCACATCTTATGATTACAAACCTAATATTTTAACTTTCGTTCCACCGTATAGACAGAAATGTCATGGGGAATCAATTATGCTCTTTATGATGATGTGAACTCGGAAAACTTTTGATCTTCCAACCTTGGTATGGGATCTAGGCTAACAAAAGCCCATAGAATCTGGGAAGCTTGGTTCCAAGCTCCTAGGCATTGTCACGAACCGCGATCTTCAATTCGAGGATGACCTCCGCCAAACGGTCGACAAAGTTATGGTGACCGACCTAGTCACCGCCCAGCTAGGTGTAACCCTTCCTGAGGCGAACAAGATTCTTGCCAAGTCCAGGAAAGGCAAGTTGCCTATCGTTGACAAGGATTTCAACCTCGTGTCCATGATCTCCCGTTCCGACTTGACCAAGAATTTGCACTTTCCGCTTGCGTCTAAGCTTCCCGACTCGAAGCAGCTCATCTGCGCTGCCGCGATCGGTACCCGTCCAGAGGATAAGATTCGCTTGAAGAAGCTCGTCGATGCGGGACTTGATATTGTTGTCCTAGACAGTAGTCAGGGTAACAGCATGTACCAGATCGACATGGTCAAATGGATCAAACAGGAGTACCCCGGCCTCGATGTCATTGGCGGAAACGTAGTGACTCGGGAGCAGGCCGCAAACCTGATTGCCGCAGGAGTTGATGGACTAAGAATCGGAATGGGCAGTGGAAGTGCTTGCATTACGCAAGAGGTCATGGCCGTGGGCCGTCCCCAAGCAGCTGCGGTGTACTCCGTTTCCGCCTTCGCGGCGAAATTTGGAGTACCTTGCATCGCAGACGGCGGTGTCCAAAATGTCGGTCACATCGTCAAGGGTCTTGCTCTCGGTGCTTCCACCGTCATGATGGGTGGTCTGCTGGCAGGCACAACCGAGTCACCGGGCACTTCATTTGTCTCACGTGAAGGTAAACTCGTTAAGGCATACCGTGGTATGGGTAGTATCGACGCCATGCAGGATAAGAAGGCCGGTGCTGGCAGTAAGAACAGCCAGGCTAGTAACGCGGGTACCGCCCGGTACTTTAGCGAGGGAGACAGCGTCCTTGTTGCTCAAGGTGTCTCTGGCGCCGTGGCGCATCGTGGGTCGATCAACAAGTTCGTACCGTATCTGGCTGCGGGCCTGAAACACTCGCTGCAGGACTGCGGTATGCGGAGTCTGAAAGAGATGCATGAAAGCGCAGCCAACGGCACTCTCCGGTTTGAGATTCGCACTGCTAGCGCACAACTAGAGGGCGGCGTGAATATGGAAAGTTACGAGAAGAAACTCTATGCTTGATAAGCTCAGTATGGAAAAGGATGGGTTAGTGGATGAGTAAAAATTACCTACCTTAGGTAGTTATGGGTTGATGACAAGCCGGGTGGGTTGGTATGGGACTTACGAAGATTGATAATTACGGAACGGTCGGGACGTAATGATTTTCTCAGATAGTCTTCGGTGCGGAAAACAAAAACAAAGTGATACCTCTTCATAGCTTTATATTGCATGATGATGCGCGGTAGCTCATCTCCCTCATAGGCGTTTTATGGCTAAAGGAGTCAGGTCAGGTCAGGTCAGGTTAGGCTACGGCGACTTGATAGGGGGAATTCATGTCAATTTTTATACCTAGGCATCTGGGATACAGCAGCATGGATCAAATCGGTTAAATAAAAGCAGTTCATGACTTATTTTATACAAGACAGCGAACATCAAATTTCGAAGATGATAATGCTAGTTACTAAATGCTAACAATACTATTCTACTCGGCCCTGGTTAACCCCAAATCCATTTTCGAGTCCGTAACGCCTTCCGATGATAGAGACAGTGACTGATGATTTTGCTGCTGCTTCGTCTACATCCTTGTCTATTCGATCACGTAGAGTATCTCACTTTAAATACCGTTTAACCAACCCGCCCCTATTTTGGGGTCTATTCGCAACCAACATCAAACCCGTTATATACTAAATTAAGCCGTGGTAACGTTCCCTCGAAAAACCTGAGAGGGGCTATCCCCAGTCTCTAGCGTCCCGTAGCCATTACTAGCCTGCGAGGTCTCGACGCTACTTATTAACGGAGCATCCTCCGTTATATGCGGCTGTTCTGGCACGACAATAGTGCTGGCCTGACTAGTTCTAAACTCGTCATCATCGACAGCGAGCTCGCTATCAACCTCCGTATCATCCTCGTCCTCGCTGTCAGATAAAGAACCCACATCACTCGGCCCGTCACCTTCGATGATCGTCCATGCGGGCACGGCACCTAGGATCGCTATGACGGCTATGAGCCACCATGGCAGACCAATCATACCCCGTTTTACACCATATGTGAAAACAGCACCCGTCATAGCAGGGCCAGTAGCTCGGCCAAGGGCACTAAACGTAGTCGCAAAACCGTTTAACGTTCCTAGGACACTTAAGCTCTTGGCACTGTTGGTAAGTAGAAGGGTAGTGCAGGGGAACCCGACAATGACAGCGAATGTTTTCAGAGTTAAGAGGATGCATAGTGCGGTATAGCGCATTATAGTGCCCTCAACGAGCACGGTAAACGGTGTGAGGATGTAGACAATCGGGAAGACGAGGACGGAAGCCTTGTAGCAATTCAATATGCCAAAATGGGTGCATAGCGGTGGGAAGACTAGAAATTGGACCAAACCAGATATGATGCCTTCACCTGCGAAGATAGTACCAATATGCGTGTGAGTCAACCCAAAACCGCCACTGAAGACGAATGGAAGCGACGTATTCTCAGGTGTATGTTCTTGCGGCGGATAGTTTAGGAATACGGGCAAAGCCTGGTCGAACGAAACCGAGTGCAGAGCTAAGATTGTGTACGCAACAAGATTGATAACACTCTGACGAGTAAACACCGAAAGAAGGGGTAAAGGTTTATGCTTTTCGATCCTTGATTCGACAACGGTAACATCAGCCGTTTTTGAGGGCGCATCCGAATCCAATAGGGGTGCTGATACTTCATCATCCTGAGCGGAATGTCGCTGGCGACGCTGAGCCCGTCGGCGCGGATGACTCCTGAATATATTCATGATACGTTCGCCAAGAACTAGACCCCAATCTTGAGAGTTACGTTTGCTATGAAGGGTTTCTTTGAGGAAAAGAAACCCAGTCGTGAGAGATACCAGAAAGAAGACGGAGCCTATCAAGTTCGGGAAAGCGAATGGATAATTTTTGAAGAAAGCAATGTTACCAAAAATGTTAGGCCATTGATCAGCAGGCTTCGCAAATAGGCCGCCGAAAGCTGGACCGAATACGGACCCGACGCTCCAGACCAACGGCATGATGGAGAATGCTCTTGGCCGGAGTTCCTTCTCTGTTACCATCTCCGCAACCATCGTTCGAATAATACCAACTACGACAATTAGTATGGAGAGGTCTGATATTACCCTGCAACAAAAACGTACCATTTCCATTACCAGCTCCCATCATAACACGAACAGTGATCGCCATTGGTAAACTCGTCGACATGCCCCACACTATGAAGCCGATCATCGTGAAAAAGAGCCCAGCCAGAATGACAGGTTTCCGCCCCAGCCGGTCTGAGGCTCTACCCCAAGCCACGGCCGTCAAACTCTGTGCAAGGGAAAATACCGCGCTAGTAATACCGGCCCATTTCGCGATCTCTTTTCTTTCGACGCCGAAGCTCAATATCATCTCGGGGAGGTACGGGAAGACGGATGTATAAGCGATCGGTTCAGCGAACCGTGCAATAGCTAGAAAGAGAATTAGCTCGGAGTTTGGAAAGAGGGTGGTAATTATCTAGCCATGCGTAACATCACGGTTCAGCTATGAGCGTTTCGTCGCCTATTTTCATTGCCACTAAAATCTAACCAGTCCAGAGCTTTATAGGATACGAATTGGTACCATACTTCAGCATATCACGGGGAAGCTAAGCAACGTGAGTAGGTCGAACGGTCCTCAGCACAGAGACAAACCGGTGATATATTTTAAGCAAGATAGCGGATCTGTATAACATAAAATCCCAGACAAGACTCATCTGACAACTTGGTTACTCTGATAGATAGTTATCGCATAACACCTAGAAGATACAACGCGATGTGGACTTTCCAAGGAAAAAAGAAAAAAAAAACTACAACGAAAAGCAGGCAAAAGAAAAATCTAAGCTCACCCAATATGGCTAGTTGCTGGGCTGGCAATTTCGGGCCATGATTCCTAGTCATTTTCGTTTCGTCCTTTACGTATTGAAAAACAGGGTAGGAAAGGGAGTTTGAAGACGAAGACTCGAAGTCGAAAGAAACTCGGATAGCCGGTTCTCTTATGTCGGGATAAGAGGGGCGAGGATCCCGTCCAGAAAAAGAAAAAAAAAAAAAAAACTAAAGCGTTAAGACTCCCACACAGTAGCCGCCACGTCTATGTATTATTTTGTTTTTAAGACTGGAGAGTAAAGAACGGGGAACAGTTAAACACAACCGGCCAACCAAGATGGAAAAGATAAATCATGTATCGTGAAGCAGCGGGGAACAATACCTTTATTATAACATAGAAGAGACGTTGAGGAAATGCTACCCGACGACACCCACATCTCGTACCGAACATGTCTAAGCCATGGATACATCGGCGCTTGTTACCCTGCGCATGTATGTATGTGCAGTGTATATTCCCTGTATGCAAAGTTCTGTTCTACAGAACGGCTAAGCCGAAGGTAGGAGCACGCCGTTAATACCGCCTCTGATTCGATGCTTACCACGTATTGCCTTCCCGAGTCCTGAATTAAAACCCGGTAGTAGTGGACCTGAGGGGGGGCAAAGAGGCGTAAGGCGTGCTGCATGTACGTAAAAAGGTTTTAAAAGCTTTTTTTTTTCTCCCCTTCCCTTCGATCGTGACGAAATAAAAGACCTTCGAAGAAAAGACCCGCCTTCAACTATCCGGGGACACCAAACCTACGAATCGGAAACAAACTCGCTCGCCATCCGCTGCATGTTCCACTAGTTAGTGTAGATTTTGTATGTAGAGAACACCCAAGATCGCTATATCAAGGGAACGCAAAGTGCTGCCTCAAAATGTCCGGTGTCGGATGTCGTAGAATGTGATCCGGTACGTAACAATTGTCAATTTTTACGGGCTTAGTGAATTGAAGGAAGCCAAAATTGAAAAAGGTCACACGCCAACGTCCAGCCTCCTGATCATGCGAGACGATGCCAGGGAAGGGATCTTCGCTGCAACAAGGGTGTTACATAGTATTGCTTCTGAGGCTTTGAACGCGATTGGCCAAAATGTAAACCCCTCCTGTAGTCTCCCGCCCCGCAGGGAATCCACTAGGTTAAGTTAGGTAATCCACTATGTAGGCTAAGCCTGAGCTCCTTCAAGATGCGTAATGCGGCTGCTCCAGACTTGCAGATCTTTAATATTCCAGCTCGCACAAGACATATGATAACTTCACTTGAGCCAATTACATATGTAGTTTGAAAGGTTAGTTGAGGACGATGTATGAAATCATAGGTACCAACCAAACAACTATAAAAATACTTACTAAAACGCACCCGTTTGTAGTGTACACCTTAAACCATGCAACTTACCGCAGCCACAGTCGAGCTTACTCGTAATCAATATATACATGGTTTTCGAATTTATGGGCCTTTTCTATATTACCCTTCCCGAATGAATGTGAATGTTATTGTAAATAAAAGTGCCTGTTCACTTGAAAGATTATACATACACTAACAAACTTCAATTAATAAGCTACCTAGGGAGATATAAGTGCAAGACAGAATAACCAATCATGATTAGACGACTGATAGCTATTATGGGGATCGGGTTTAATAAGGTACAACTCCGAGGTCGTAGTGTCTCTTCGGCCCCATATAGATAAGGCTGGAACATAGCCGAATCCGATTGCAACATTCCCGGGGTTCATTACGTTCATTACGTCGGAGTGGCGACACAACCTAACATTCCTAATGTAAGAGCGGTTATTCACAACTTCGTTGTCACCACTCTCGACTTAACGCCATCTCAAATTCATCATGCGCTTGGCCCAGTCTGATCTCGGCCGTCACGATGACAAGATGGCTAATGAGTATACACCATTAATCACCACTGTTACTGTCGGCCCGCCCCGACAAAGATACCCTCATCACATCATTCGCCGGTTCTGCACCATCGCTCTAGGTTCATCTCTCATTGCCCTTTTCATTACCTTTATCATCACAGTTGTTTTCGCACCTCAGCATAACACTCATCACGGATGGCCTGGTCACCATAGGAATCGCGTCACCTACGAGGAGCTCCAAACCATACTCTTAGAAACTCCAAGTTCATCTAAGGCTACCGAGTGGAGCAAGTATTACACATCCGGCCCACATCTAGCTGGCAAGAACTTATCTCAGGTAAGACTCCCTTGGTTCAGAAATACGAATGAAATTCTCAGCAGTAAATATATCGTAGGCGGAATGGACACGCGACCGATGGAACGAATGGGGAATTAAGTCTGATGTCGTAGCGTATGAGACGTACATAAATTACCCGGTTGACCATCGACTTGCTCTCCTAGAGAAGGCCAAGTCAGATGCCGTCGATCCTGAAGCTTGGAAAGTGGCCTTCGAAGCCACTTTAGAAGAAGACGTGCTCGAAGAAGACCCAACATCGCAGCTGGAGGAGAGCATCCCAACATTCCACGGCTATTCCGCGAGTGGGAATGTTACTGGATCATATGTTTACGTGAACTACGGTACATACTGGGACTTCGAAGACCTCGTTAAAGCCAATGTCAGTCTCGAGGGTAAAATTGCCGTCGCTCGTTATGGAGGCATCTTCCGAGGATTAAAAGTCAAGCGGGCTCAGGAGCTCGGTATGATAGGTGTTGTTATGTTCACTGATCCGGGTGACGACGGCGAGACCACCGAGGCAAACGGCTACGACACATACCCGAACGGTCCTGCGCGGAATCCTAGCAGTGTTCAACGTGGTAGCGTCCAATTCCTCAGTGTCGCGCCGGGAGATCCAACAACTCCCGGCTACCCTTCCAAACCAGGCGTGCCCCGAGCGCCGGTTGATGGAGCTATACCAAGCATTCCGTCCCTGCCGATATCTTACTTGGAAGCCTTACCGATTCTAAAAGCTCTGAACGGAATTGGCCCTCGAGCTAAAGATTTCGGTCAGTATTGGACTAGGAACACCGGTCTTGATTACAAAGGAGTCCAGTATAATATTGGACCCTCGCCGGATGATCTTGTACTCAATCTATACAACGAACAGGAATATACTATAACGCCCATGTGGGATGTAATCGGCATTATTAACGGTACTATTCCCGACGAGGTCATTGTTGTGGGCAACCATCGTGATGCTTGGGTGGCTGGTGGCGCTGGTGATCCCAACAGTGGGTCTGCCGTTTTGAATGAAGCTATTCGCAGTTTTGGTAAGGCTCTGGAAAAGGGTTGGAAGCCTCTGCGAACCATAGTCTTTGCTAGTTGGGATGGAGAAGAATATGGTTTAGTCGGTAGCACTGAGTGGGTAGAAGAGTATCTTCCGTGGCTAACAGCCGCCAACGTCGCCTACATCAACATTGATGTTGGTGTTCGTGGGCCAATTTTCTCTGCCTCGGCCGCTCCTCTGCTGCACAAGCTAATTTATGATGTGACCGCTTCGGTACAGTCGCCCAATCAGACCATCAAGGGCCAGACCGTACGCGATCTTTGGGATGGACGTATAAGTACAATGGGAAGCGGTAGCGACTTTACAGCCTTCCAGGACTTTGCCGGAATCCCCAGCCTTGACATCGGTTTCGGTGAGGAGAGAAGCGATTCCCCGATCTACCACTACCACAGCAATTACGATAGCTTCCATTGGATGTCCGAGTTTGGCGACCCTGGCTTTGTGTATCACAGAACGATGGCGCAGGTCCTAGGCCTCATCACCGCAAAGATAGCCGATTTGCCGCTCCTCTCCCTCAACGCGACGGATTATGCCATTGCGCTGGAAGAGTATATCAAGAAGGTTGAGACGAAGCTGACGACTTCCCAAGCGAACCCGTCTACTGAAGAGGAGATATTCGAGCTCAGAGCCCGTGCCGCCGGCACTGAAGTCAAAGGCGATCCAGACGCCCTGAAAAACACACTAGGTCGCTTGTACCAATCCGTAGATGCGTTTAAGCAATCTGCCATTGAACTTGATGCCAAGTCGGAAAGATTGGCCAAAGAGGCGAACGGACAAGTTCCCTGGTGGAAATGGCTTAGCAAGCTCAAGCTGCTCCATGAGATTCGCTCCACAAACACTAAGTACAAGAAGATCGAGCGCGCCTTCCTATACCAACTCGGCTTGGACAGTCGGCCCTGGTTCAAGCATGTTGTTTTCGCACCTGGCCTTTGGACCGGTTATGCTGGGGCTGTATTCCCTGGGCTCGACGAGAGTATCGATAAGGAAGATTACGTGAACGCCACGAAGTGGGTTTACATTATCGACGACTGCATTAAGACTGCTACCAAAACGATTGAATAATTACATAGTATACGGAAGTTTGGATTGTGTCCGAGTTCAGATTAGGACAGTTTTTTATATATAAGCGGAATGAGACTAACTATCATATTAGATGAGTTAATAGGTTGATAGCGTTAACGAACCAAGATTGTATACCCAGGTAGCTGGCTAAGGCAAACTATACGTAACGGGTAGTCATTATGGAAATAGCATTCTCGGCCCACCTGCCTTGAGGCGAGAATGATGAAACAACCTCAATTATACTAGAAGGACCTCACCTTCCGTATACCCATGCCATGACTCAATGGGTGTTGCAACTTCCCCAGCTTCACGAATCACCCGCTTTAAATTCCCTTCTTATTCTCTCACCTTTTCGCTTCCCTTTCTCATCCCACAACTTACTAGACGGCCTCACAAAGCAGCCTTATATGCATTGCTCCCCTTCATCCGCATCAACTAACCTTATTGATATCGTATTCTAATGCCACCGCGGTCTACAATGCCTCCCGAAACACCCAGCAGAATGAAATGTCTTGTCAACATGAATATCTCTGTTTCCGAAGATAGAGTCCAGGACGCCTCCGTCTCATTCAGTCTCTCAACTCCACCGCAGAATGTCTCCGCTACATCGTCTACAGATCTTGTCAGCGACATATGTGACCGGCCAGCACAACTCGAAGCGCCAGTCAGTGGGACAAGCGATAAGGTGGCATTGTCCGGAGATATCATACGGCGAAAACGACCACGACTAGCAAGCCCTAAGCTAGGGAGTAATGACGGAATCGGCAACCAGTGGGACGAATGTATCCACGATCTCATGTTCTTACTACAGCTCGTTATGCCGGATTTTAACAAATATGATGCTATTTTCGACGCCTTCCTCGCGATTATCTATAGGGTCGGTATGGATGGTGTCAAGCGTATAAGGAGCTTCATCCTAGAGGACTGTGAATGGTATCGGCCCGGTACTTGGATATGTTTGAGGAACACGTTCTTGAGATCCTCACGTGTATGTCTATTGGACAATGAAGAGTGCGACTGCCAACCTGCATATAGATACAATCGTACCTGTTTCTATCTCAAGAAGGTAGATGGCGGTTTAGTAGCGATTCGTATAGGGTCCCATAAATAAGGGAATGGTTCAGCGTACCAAAAGAAAAGTACTGGTTGCGGAATTTAGATAATGGTGGTGTCCCTGAGCGTTTGTGGAATACGTGGGTTACCTAAAGATGCCCTGACTTGCTACTGGCTAACGAGGAAGGAGTGGAAGATGATGTCGAGGATAGGTGGAGTAATGAATACAGAATGGGCAAAAATAGTCTTCTATCAATTAACCTTTTGTTAATAATATTTAAATATATCTTCCTAGTTTTCAGACCAGCTTTCGGATTCCTAAGGCCCGTAATGGAGATGGCTAGATTGTTGACGGGGGACGTACTTAACAGATACGACAAACGTATGCGAGGCTATTAAGGCATATATCATAGATGTCTTGTTACGTACCGAGTGCAGTAGAGGCTGGGTAATAATGGGTAGTTTAAAAATGCGGCACGCAGAAGTTTCTTGGTAGTCCCGAACTTGCTGTCAAATACCTTGACATGCCTAGAGGCAACTACGCCAGAAAGGGATCCAAAACTATAGCTGGGGGTTTACAATTCCCTCCGAGATGTATTGAGATGTTTAGACTATCTCGGTATCACCTCTGAAATTATATTGGGTGGGCTCACGGGTATAGGTAGGGTGGGGAAGCTCGCCGTAAAAGTCTGCCTTAGCCAAACTCCGGGATCTTGTGATAGACACGGTTATGGTCCATAATAGCTTGGAATAGTAGTACTGTTAAGCTTAATCGTTATTAAGAGCGTGGATTAAGCTGGTTAACTTCGAGAAGTATGCGGTCCCAAGGCTAAGATCAGCCGTTAGAGTAAACCATTGCCGCTTTAGGGAGGCGGGGAGCAGTCTTGTCCAATCAGGTTCACTACATGACGACGAACCTAGGTGAATCAAGACTTGGGAAGGCAGAACGATGATCAATTTAGGAAGAGATCGCATAAGGCTTTCTATATCCGTAACATATCAAACGAAAAAGTTCAATCTTAAAAAACTATGCTTCAGTCACCGTGGAAACTGACGACACCACGGAAGGGCACAATTGCCCGTACCGTCTCTCCTTAAGTAGGTACCTTTACTAGCTAGAACGCAAACACAAAAGTATAGCGCGTGGTAGTCAATCTCGTATTCTTCCGAGAGCCAATACTGCCTACGACCTCCAGGTCTTCCAATATTGAACGAGTAGTTAGGCCATAAATTTCGAAACCGTATAGCGGGCTCAGAAGATTGGACGTAGGAACGTAAATTTACGTTTCGGATCTCGTTCCACCTTCCAATGGTGCATTTCGCGGCCTTCTACTTGATCAGATATATATTCAAGAGAACGACAGGCCTTGGCGCAAAGATGGGATATGGTTTCATTGACCTCCCAGCTCTCTTCATCATCAGGATCGTAGTACCAGTCTGTAGCGATTTCGAGCTTGCGCAAGTGAATAAAGTGCCTCAGTTGGGAGGCGACTTCCTATGAATGATTTGTTAACCCAGAATATGATATATAAGAGCCGGAACGGACATACACTTCGCTTCCAGGTGAAAGTGGACATTCCTCTAATAACAAGATTCTCTAGTAATGGGAATGCACGATTAATGTCTAGAGAAGTATTAGCTAGGAGCCTAGGTACAGACTTAGGAATTCAAAACAATTATGTTAGGATGACTTACTGCGCAAGGCCACCACACCGCTGATGTCGGGTAGCTGTATGTATATCTCTAGGCTTTTCAGTGACGGGAGATATGCCGTTATACTGGGGTCGAGAGCCGACCTAAAGCAGTTGCTTCTGACTTCTAGATGACGCAGTCTAGGAAACATGCGAGTGAAATAGATCGCTCTAGTAGAGGTGAACCCTTTTAGTCGAATTGTGAGCGGATTGTAAGAAACCGTATGATTAAGCCGTTCCTTAACCTCTTTGTGTATGGCATCCTCGTACCAAGCGGCTAGCTCGTCGCCTGGCCCGGTACTTTTGATAGTAATTTTGAGGTCATTTAATCTCCGCATTTTGCTGATAAGAGATAGAATGCACCTGATTAAACCCGGAATACTAATAGTATAGTTACTACGGGGGCCGGAATAGGGGTCTCGGCTGAAGAACGTGGCAATGGCGATATGTATAGAGCTATTGAATCCGCGATTAAAGGCTGCATGCTAAGGTACGTTGGTAGGGATGGAGATAACACTCACGTAGTATGGGTACGAACAATCTGGGTTTGCATATGATCTTTGAGGATCACCAAGTCCCCGTGCAAAGAAGGTGGCATGCCAGTTACCTTCACATTCTGGAGTCGGAAGTCCCAACCAGCATTGCGGAGCTCTTGGCAAGTTTGGGCGAGAGCTTGCTTGGAAGTAGAGTCGCAGGCCTCAAATATCATACGACGCACGCAAAAGGGCAGGCGCTCAAGAGCTGATTTATGGAAGCTTTCCGGCTTTGGCGCTCCGCGTACCTCCACCAACCGAAGCTTGGAGTGGCTAGGGATGGGGAAAGAAGCCATGGTGATCGAGTATCGTGAAAAGTGAAAGGCAATGTGGCAGTATTTATGATTAGATATGCTGGCGTGGTTGGGATAGAAGTATGATATGACTATGGTTACGTTAAAGAATTGGCGATGATAGATTTATAGTGTAGGTCGGTTTGTAATTAATTACTTTCGGGCCAATAGCCGTTTTAGGTCTTAGGTAGGAAGATTAGAAGTCTACTCAGAAGGTACGAATACGGTAACAGGCAATTTACCTCTAAGATCTTGTGTATAATGCTGAGCCTCTGGGGTTATAGGCGGAGACAGAATTCCCTAGGAGAGCTTGTCAAGGGTGTGTACTAGTGCGCTGTTGAGATAGTGTGGGGTTTAGGAGGAGGTGAGAGTACTAGAAAGGTGAATACCCGGAGTGGTGGTTTTGAAATTTCGTAAACAAAGGTTAGTTTTGTAGGTGCTATTCGAACGGCAATCTTGCTAGAACAGAATACGAAGGAAGGTGCTGATTCAAGATTGAATTTATGGGGAAGGATGTAAAACTGTAACTTCCCTGGTACCTATCCCAATAATTTAGACTTTAGTTAGGTGATGGCGTTAAGATGGAAACGGCAATCGTGACAGGGTCTTGCCTTGCTTGTCATAGCAACTAAGATTAGGTAGATAAGCATAACATATATTAATGATCTACGTTATTATCTTCATCTCTCTAGAGTAGCTAGGGGCTCCGGATATAGGTAGACGGCAGCGTAAGATATGGAGAAAGCGGGATATCTGCTACCAAAGTGTATGGATAGGGCGAGAAGAATCTATATCTATGGCTAAGATAGGGCTTTCTAGCCATCTACTAATCTTTAACATCACTTGCAGAGAGAGACGAAAGAGGAAAACCGTCCATTACTTGAGCGAAACTGGGGAAAGTTTACTGGCCGGAGAGTCCAGACATCAAACTTCAAGTTACTAAAGTAATGCTCTTCCTATGCTCTAGCTTCCATAAGTTAAGACGTGCCTATGTGGTGTATCAATACCTATATCGCAATCAAGGACTGGATCTGCTGTCGTCGCGAAAATCACGTGATCATCATTTATTCACGTGCCTGTTATCAATCCCGGTGTCACATGATCTTCTTGCCCACACGTGCGCCGATCGGCATAGTACCCGCTTTCGTTAACATAACTATCGGCCCCATCTATGGGTTTCGGGTTCGGGGGGTCGGGTAAGATAGCATAGGAGATCTATAAGTTCTTAGGCGACGAGTCGTATGACGTAAGCGATAGCAAATCGTAGGCTATATCGAATACAATTTTCTCGAGCAATATCAAGTGGTCCTATTCTTACGAAGTAGTAACGGATAAAAACTTAACGCTGGCAATAGGCCGTGAATATATACCTACCGAGAGGTGGTAACTTCCTGAAATACGAATTTATTAAGGAAAGTACAAAGCTGGGTATAATTTATCTTTGCTCCGTTGACCTCGGAGGTGTTTACCAAGTTCACAAAACACACCCCGGGGTTTATAATGAGTTGTGCTATTTGCAGATTGGTCTGCCAGTCTTCTGAAAAATAATCTGTAAAATAATCTGTCTGGAAGGGCTGGCAGACCAATCTGCAAATAGCACAACTCTATCTTAAAGAAGAGGCAAGATGTATTCGGTGATAATCCAATCACAGCTGATCAAGTCGATGAGCTGATCCAAGAATGCCGCCTCACAGAAGACCTGCGCAAGGTAAGCTGTTACCCTCGTTCCCATTACACCCAGTCTTAATATTTCTTTTTTAGATTTTTAGCCCGGCAAAACGTGGTCCCACTAACGCGGGTGGTCACGACGTAAGTGAGCGACCATCGAAGCAGAGAAAAATCAGTTGGATGAAATTCGGATGATGGGACTGTACAGCGCGTGCAGACTATGGGCTGTTCAATTCCGAAATTGTCTATATGCGGTCGCCTTAAGCTGTACAGCAGCTGCCTGAGCCTATAACTTATGGGAACCAAATTACCATTGAATTTATATTTGCGTATGTTTTTCAAAAATTTGGGAACTGCCTTAGGCCTTGTTAGGGTATGAATGGGTTAGGGGTAGTTGCAGGGTAGGCCCACTATAAAGGGGTGTGCAGCGCCCTCGTAAGAGGGTAGAAGACAGGCGTTAATAGTTCAATCTATCTATCCTGACATTCACTCCACGTATGACATCAATCAGGGGTACAATATTCGACAGCTTGTCCTGCGAGTCCGTGAGTAACCGCGGTTATTCAATTAGTTATGGGTTTGTAAGTGGCTCTTGGTCAGGAGCCGTATTATATGTTGTGTTCTCTGGTCTCGGTATGCCGTGCATCGCTCATGGTGTTCATCGAAAACGCGCCGCGGTTATTTACCTCCTAGGTAGAGGTGCTACGTCTAAGATAATTTCCTCTAGATCCCCTCGGAACGAAGACTTGATGCATAATTACGAGCTTTGCAATGCCGTATTCGTATTATTCTACGACATACATCACAACGTACACTGGCTACCCACGCACTTTGGATAGCGGATCTCCATGTTATGTTTCAAAAATATATGTTAACTAGATGAGAAAGTATCAGGCGAGTGGTTAGATAACATACACTATCGTCTGACCAGCGACTACAACCAATGTCAAGATATTTCACATTGGGGAAGCATTGTGCTGCACTTATGCTCCTATTAACTTTAGATCCAAGGACCCGAGAATATATCATGGAAAAACTCTTACGGCGATAATATTTCAATTCTCTCGCTTGATCGGAACTTGACTAGATCTGAAGACGCTTAATTATTTTAAAATGTATTTCTCCGGTAATAAGAGGTGCAGCCTCTTGGAAACACAAGGAGTTCAACAATACATATTGTAGATGCGAAAATATACGCAAGATATAGAATTAGGTACCTTTGGAGTATTGAACCAGATTAGCATTAACACGCGTAAGCTACTGGAAAGCATGCTGTTACCCAGGGCCTTGAAGCTGGAGCACATGGCATCCTGGAAGTCATCCGGCGAGGACTCGTATATATCGAGGCGTTCCATATAGATCTTTAGGCATTGGAGTTTCTCCATTTTACTGATGAGAGCGGTGGCGTATTTAGTTGACGAACAGCCTCCTCCGGGTTGATGGTATTGAGGGTGGATACTCTGGCTTTGGTATGCACACCTCATATCCCATTGTTGAGAGCGATTTGAGGAGTCCGCTTCCCGAAATTTTCAACGTATGAACAAGCGAGGAATGTTGCAATGGTGATCAAAGAAGAATAAGGGTGATAATAACATACAATCCTTAGAGTTTAGAGATGGAAGAGAGAGAGAGACAGAACCAAGCCATGTATACAATTAGGAGAAGATGGAACAAGGTCATCCAACCTTACATGCATTATTACAAGCCCCATTCACAAGCATGCACATACATAGGTACCTATACATTTAAGTATGTATCTAATCAAGTATGTGCCTGCCGTGTCTAATGACTTCTACATGTAATCGACGACTTCTGTAGGGAGTTACGGTATTTTAAGTACCTTTAGGTAGCACTTACCTTTTAGGTATGTTGGGTACGTACATCATAACGTACAAGGCAACGGCAATGGCAACAGCTACCGGCACGGATATGTGCCTTTGACGTAATGATATGTATAGCTCTTTCTCATGTAACATGCAACCAATCGGTGTATTAGGTACTTTTACGCCTTTGGTGGTATTATCCAGGCCTGTTATGTCCCTTAAGACCTTTAGATGGACTATATAATCGGTGACTGGTTAATTTTAGAGATACCTACTCAAAGGTACTCAAAGGGTCAAACGAGGCCGCTCTTTCCTGAACCTTGTCTGTAAGTCTTTCTAGATGTTGAGTAAGGAAGTCGCCGGATTGATACTTCCTTCTCAACCTGGGTGCGTTGCTATGGGTATGAAACATCTAACAGAGCAAGAGCGAACTCACCGCTGTTGCCACGTACAAAGACGGCAGCTACGCCGGACCTTCCTCTGCAACGAAGCTTCCCAGGTTAGATCCTAGAGTCCAGTATTAATTCAGACCGGTTTCCTTCAGACCTGAGGATTCTTCCACAATTCACCTCACATCTTTTTCTTTCCTATCAACATTCACCATCCCAATTCCAAACATTTTGGGCTGCGAATCCATTATACATATTGCACATACCTAAACCAAACATCCCTTCCTTGCAGAAGCTTCACCTAGAACCTCAAGTCATCTTTTTGGTTGACATACCCTGCGGGCAATAGCTTCACTGAGTATCACTAGGTATTAAGTTATCTGTATTCTTGACTACATCTCCGACGCTATCATTACTTTCAGGTATGTATATTCATTAAGTATTCTTCTCTCTAGATATATCCCTTTCATCTCTCTTAGGAGACTTATATAGCTAGCTAGACTTAGATACTGACTACATCCATTAGGATAGAAGACATCATGTTGGATTATTCCACCATGGACGGCAATACTCGAGGTCAAGGTCTTGATGAGTCTATCATTGTATGGCATGAGTCCGACACTGATATCGATATGTGTTACGCCGACGAGCTTGACATTGATATCAATGAGGACAAATCCGACTATGAGGGCGAAGATGAACCGGGAGAGCTATTTCCAATCAACACCATCATGCTGGGAACCGAGTCCGCCACCTATCATTGGCATTATCCCATTGACCATATGTCATGGGTTAAGCGTGTCTGGAGCGCCCTTGACCCCGAGCTCCCAGGCATAGCAAAGGACGCTGCCGCAATGATACTCCTAGCCGACAGGAAGGAACGCTACACCCTTAGCCCCGTCTTCAAGTTCTTGAATCAGCAAGCCAAGCTTAGAATGCAGGGTAAGGCAGCCGCTCGTATCCCGCGTCTGTACCTAGCAATCCTCCAGGCCATGGCATTGTGCGATGACAAAGCCGCATCTGGCATCTACGAGCTTGTTCCGTCCCTGAAGCCAATGGAACACTCTTCGGGTTCAAATCAGGACTCATCTGACCATCGAGGTACCTGGCATTGGGGCTCTGACACATCTATTGTGGAGATATTCACCACACACCCTCCCAAAGGTCACACGAATCCCTATGCTATCCTAGGTCTGACCGATGATTTCAAATGGCCGGTAGGCTGGGATATGGACTGGAGTTCGGAATCTTCCAAGGGAGAGCGCATCTGTTTCGACAAGATTTCTCCACATTGGGAAGCTCACCTCATGGAAAACAGTCGAGAATCGAATCCTGAATGGTACAAGGCATGCGTTGTATCTGGAGAGGTGGGCGATTTGCGTGGTCTAGCGATGATGCCGCGCGGAATGTCGGATGCTATTGACGTCGAAGGATGTATGCATACGACGCAGTCCGCGGTCAAGTATCAAACCTTGACAGAGCAACTGAAGCTGATGATAAACAATGGCAATATCAGTGGAGATGCCGTTGACAATCTGTTGAAGCAGATTGAGGGTCACAGTATCTAGAGTTGTATCTTCGTGTTTGAGACCTAGTTTCTTTTCTGTGGTAGGATTTTCGCCTTTCAGAATGACCCGAGGGGGGGAGGAAGGGAAGGAAGGGGGAGATATGACGCAGCTAGGGAAATGGCCTGAACTCCGTTATTAACCGATATGATAATTGTATTATATTGGGTATGTAGTCTAGGTCTCTCAATTACTTGTCCCAAACCCAGCGGTTCCACTTTCAGTCCCTACTTCTCTCAGTGTTCTTAGCAGTCCCGAGGTATCCTCGCCAACATATCAAGATCCTATCGCCAACCACGTCACACCGCACGAGTATAAAACCGTATCTGCCCAGCTATCTGCGTGAACGGTGAACCCATGAGAACTGATCTCTGTCGCGTAAACCTTGACTCTAAAGTTAGACCCCCCTTTAACACTGGCGGTATTCATGCTAACCAACACCGTCGGAATTGAGGTAAACTCCTTTGTGAATTTAATCAAGCCTTCGGTCTTCTCTCTAGGATGATCCCACGATCTAACATCACCTGTGTTCCAAGTCCCGCTATCGAGTTTAATCTTTTCAATTGGCGGCGGAGAAGTCACAACAACCTCAAGCCCAACCGACCGAAACTCAAGCTCCCCAGTCACATTCTCAAACTCTACCTTGAGCCATAAGGCCACGCCCTTCCCTTCTTCTTCCGCCTTTACATTGTGGCCGTGCAACGGAACTGTGAAGTCTCCAGTCTTGCGCAGCCTCTTCTTCTGGAAGACCTCATCGCTACCGGACATAATTACTACCTCATCAACACGTGCGGTTTGAGACGAGAAGTCAACCGCCACCTTGTTATAATATGAAATATTATTTGGTAGGCCGTGGAGAGGGAATAGAACAGTTCCTTTTAGTTCCCCGGGTTTTGTCGGTCTTATTACTGACCCTCCTTCGTTGGCTGTGATGCTGAAAGAGTTGTCTAAAGTGTTGATGGCTCCAGCGCCGTGAGACGATACCCACACTCGCATCTTGATAATTTCTAGTAATGTAGAGTATATTAGCTTTTTAAATAGTTATTTGAAAGTTAATTGGGTAACTAGTGGGTGCTCACTAACTTGTCCTTCAGGGCTGGTATGATACTATTAATTTATTCGCCTATATGAAGACAGAGACAGTATTTGATATCAAGTTATATAAGGCTAAAGAAAAGACCTTGAGTTCAAATTAGCTTGGAGCCTGATGCTTAAATAGTAAGAATCGAGCATGATGTACCTATGGAAAACTGATAGCGGTCATCCTATGCTACACACTTATCCTAATGTCTAAGGGTAGGAAAGGCGAGGCTGGTTATGGGGGCTAAATACGACGCTAGGACTTGGAATTATACACTTTTACGTACCTAACTCAAGTATGACAAATGGGTGGGACTAGCTATATTCCTTTATGGCAGGAACCTTCTACTTTGATATTATTTTTAAGACGCAGTATCAACCCGTAGAACAGTTTAGGGGCGAAGTTTAACTGGGAAGCCAACACGTTCATGTTGGTGTTTCGTTCAGGATGGTTGGCATCGTTGGAAGCTATGTGACCGATTCCGACCGATTCCTAATGTAAGAGAACATAGTTACTAAGTTGTTTAATTGTTCTTCTATTATGTACACAACGTAATGGTCAGGTTCTAGTTGGGTGGTGCGATAATATGCCGGTCCCTTTTCAATCGTTACTAATTTCTAGCCTACGTAACAGCTCACAACATACGTAACGATATATCCCGAGCTTCCTAAAATGTTAGAACTCAGCAACCCTAGAAGACGCCACTTGACGCAAGTCGGGCAACATGTTGATGGTGATGAGCCTGCTGATACAATCGCTCAGGCGATGGGAGACACATACTAGACGTAGCCACCATCTACTTGCCATGCCGGGATATACTATTACGGCCATGGTAAATATCATTGTGATCATGATACTTGGAACTTTCATAACAGATTTGGTTATAACGAAATATATGATTTGAATATTCTTTAATAATCAGGCACGTCTAATGAGTTTAAAGCTAGGTACTCGTGATCACAACTATGCAATAGGAAACCAACCTCCGTATTGCGCAAAAAGTTACAATCACAGGCATCTTACAGAGATGACTTGTATATATGCAGAAGACGACCCTTCGTCAAACATATTAGGTTAATCCCGGGGTAGGTCACTTCGCAAAGCTTCATCATTCCCCAAGTCCTACGCCTGCAACTATAAGATCATACGACTTACGTGATCCGTCATCTGTATCCAACGGCGCTTGACACTCATCATGCAGGTCTATATCAGCTTATAAGTAGCTCGGGAGACTCGGGAGAAACCGACGTACCCATGTCGAGAGGCTAGTACCCCGCCCCTTATTCTGCAAACCAACCAAGCTGAAAATACGTTTTGGGACGTTGACGAATATTAGGCACAACGAGGGAGATACTAAGAGCCAATTACGATAGTTCATTCTAACATCGAGCTATACTTGATCCAAACATAACAATCAATTAGGTAAGTTCTCAGCATTGTTGTGTCGTATAGCATCAGTCTACCTATAACCTCGACGATACTTCACCGCATCTTAGTTCAATCGCCATCGCAAATTGTCCAATCAACGGAAACAATAACACATCGGTAGGAAACAAAAGAGGTGTCAACCGCTACATCTCGAGCGACAGCTAAGGAGGCTATGCTGGAGTATATCGATTACCTTAGGTACGTGATCCTTTTTGGAAGATTGCGCATTGCAGACCAAGGCAACCTGAACCCTCCTCTAAACCACGCCTCAAGCGGTTGATACCCAGCCTATCAAAGGAAGACGTCGCGATATCTCTGTCTCGACGCGCCGCTGTTTTTACATGGCGAGGAGTCATGCCGGGAGCGGGGCATCGTTGACAGCGAAATTCCAACCCCAGCCGTACCAAGTCTGAGACAGGCGTCTAGCATCATAGCCAATGGTGTAATAGCTCGAAGGAAATGAGCATGGTCGTATTGCGCGGCTTCATCCATTCGGGATCCGCGATGTTGAGACGATCGTGGAAGGAAATGTTGTGATTTTCCACGCCAATATGCATCGCTGCCAAGCTCGTAGAGAGAAGCTGAAAGAGCGGCCGGTAGGAGATGCGTCTGCAGAATACCCTCACGATGCACCCCGAAGATACGACGTAAGGTCGGCGACTACTTCATGGAGTTGATCTAGATGTAGGTACAAAGTATAGTGACCGGTTGCTTCTGATAGTCCTGAAAAAAAAGTATATATATCGAGGTCTACGACCGCTAAAAGACCACATCCAAACCAGACAGCTCAACTCAACTATCAGTCTACAGTCACAACCTCGATCAATCAGGATAATCCTGCTTAACTTTCAAAAAGTAAGAACAAATGCCTAGCAATCACACCTTAGCAATCATGAGCGGAATGTAATTAACTAACAAGTTACCTATGGGAAGAACTCTCGACTCACACGTCAACTCACTCCATCAAAATGACTACCTGGATCTCCACCCACGGCATCGGTGCCATCAAGGACAGCACTTCCTCATTCTCCATAACCGCCGACAAGGGCTCCGCTCTCGTCAAGCCGACGAGCCCGAACGAGCTGAGCGGATGGATCCACTTCACCATCCCCAGCCCTCCGGTCAACAACCCGAACCTCAAGGTCGTCTCCGTGGACTTCTCTTCCCAGTCGGCCACCGTCGACACCGTGGCCATCTACCTTGCCAACTTGGTCAAGTTCAAGGAAGAAGGGCTCCAGAAGGGACAGTCCTTCTCCCTCACCATCGACTCCGCCACGGCCGTCTACCAGGGCAAGGGTATTTCCGTCTCGGTCCTTGTCCAGTTCGACAGCGTGGCTTCCAACCTCCGGTTCCAGTCTGTTGGAATCCAGGTCTAGATAAGTACGATATCCCCTCCCGTTTACCTACCTACCTAATCTATCACGGGCTCCGTCTAATAGATCTCTCCCAGACAAACCACGATATGATCTACCATATCTCGTTACGACGCGCCAGACGAAACCGACAGGAGTGGAATATTCCATTCAAGCTATGAGGTTGGATCTATATGGAAGTTTTGTTTTTAGGTGCCCTTGATGGGACCGCCTCTCACTTTATGTTGGAAACTTTTTTTTATAAACATGTGCACATGTCATTCGATCGTTTAGTAGCTTTATAGGCTAATCCAACACTATTTCTCTACAAATCCTTAAGAGATGTCGTTGCCACCGGTTTCCCCTAAGAAGTCCTAATAATAACTTCAACAAGGTAAAAAGCATTGCTTACAGTGCTTGTATGGGTATTATCAAATAAGTAGTCTATACCCCTATTAGTACACCGATTGTATCACGATCCTCTCCGTCGTATAGTATATGTCACAGCGAACATCCTCAGAAAAGGTCGCCCAACTAGCTGATTGCTTCCTGATGTATCTAAATCTAACAGATATGGCAAGCCTCCTGAGTTGATCACGTGACTCACGGTCCGTAGCCATTCTTCCATCGGTCGTTGAGGACCGATTTATCCCGCCGAACTTTCTCGCTGACAACTATTTGATCAACTTTTCCTGGCTGTTGATGTACCTATCGTATTGTACTGTAAAATCCAACTTGAACGAACGTGAATTGCTAACAACAGACTTTAGATGCTTCTTATTGAGCTTTCCTTTGCCTTTCCTGCGCTCAGCACGAGCCAACCCTAAAGCTGTAGTGACGATATTTCGGATCTGCCGACCGTCAAATCCGATGCCATATACGTCTTCTTTGAGCCACTCCAAGATCTCCTCATAGTCCTCAATCAGGTTCTTGTCCTCTAGCGGCTGAAGGAACCCTCTGAAGATTTGCTCCATCTGCGCTGGTTTGAGGCTCTCGTACTGGATGGAAACATGGATCCGAGATGGAATAGCAACGTCGAATTGGGCGATTTGGTTCGTTGTCAAAAACATAATACCTTGGTAATACTCAAGGACCCGGAGAAACACTGAGAATATTAACAAGCGAATATTAACAAGCGGTTAGGCTAGCTCGGGGCCATCACCTCTTACCTGAAACGAGAGCATTTCTATCCGTCGAGGTGGCGTTACCACGTCCACGACTTTCGAGAAAAACATCGGCCTCGTCACTAAAGCCGCCGTCAATAGCAGAAGCGAGATTGAAAAGGAATTCGTATGGAAACTCACATCAGTAATATGGCTTGCCAAGAAGCGGCAAGAGTAAATATCTTAGACAGGTTCGATTCAACATGCCGGGCCTTGGTGCCAACATCGGCGACGCTAATAGAGAACAGAGGTTTGCGTGTAGCAATAGCAATGGTTTCTGCTGTCGACGTTTTTCCAACGCCCGGCGGTCCTTTACCCTAATTTAGTATATATCCTGCTAGTTATAACGCCTCATGAGACAGGAACTAAGGTCATACCATAGAGCAGAATAACCAGACCTTTCCCTTTCCCAGGTATGATATCGTCAACTTCCAGATCCATTTCCCCTGGCTTGGTCTCTTTCTTCATTGCCGACGCGTGATTCTGCACAAGGTTAAAAAGCATATCTTTGGTTTTGTTGTCATCGGCGAGCTGTAGTCGAGTAATCCAAGCATTTTTCGGGTCGTCGGGCGGGATTTCCTGTACCATGGTGACTTGCAATTGCGCCCACTGTTTCTCTCCGAGAATGTATCCGAGTAGACGTGGAGGACAGAGCATGTATTGTTCGTCCTCCCAAATCTTATTCTTTTGGATTTTGACTTCGTCGAAGCGAGTCCTATATTTAGCTGTTAAGCCTCCGTTCTGCTGACAGTCAGAGCACATGCAATCCAAGTCATCTGCACTTAGTTTCAATGCACCGTTACGAGCAACCAAAGGCCCATATTGGAAGTAGGACAGGTAGTCGATCACAACTCTGCTATTTATCTGAACGAGCATTAAGCCTTTGTTCGTATTCCAAGAATGTAGGAGGCGATATAACTTACATATGATGACTTCACAGATTCGATTCGAGTAGGTTCCTGTGCCGACAGATGGCGCCTAAGCATTCTCCGCTCAAACTCCAAGAAGGGATTCGTTGACCGAGTATCGCTATTATCATCCTAGTAACAAATTAGCGTTATGTAACGAAGTCTATAAATAATAGGGGCCAACCTCATCGGCTTGCACTAGTCCAGTAAAGCCCTTTTTCTCAAAGATCGTCTCACCCTCGTACTCGAATAGCCGTGATCCTTCTTTGGTAAGACAGTACTTCCGGAATAGTTTACCGCGCTCAATCAGTTTAGACTTGACGGAATCATAATCGGCGTGTAGACGGAAGGGATAGTATGGTAATGCTGTTATGGGCCTGTGTCCGTCAAACTGCTCAAAGAGAAGTGTGAAGCCAGTCCTCTGGAACTTTTCACCGGTCCAATCATACGTCCAGCACACAAGCTGCCATGGCAGTAACTGCTGCGGACGGTCGCCACGCTCTGGCCAGGTCCTCCTGTTGTCTTGAACAATAAACACCTGATCCTGGTTTTGGAAAGGCTTTCCATAAACCAGAGTTCCAGGGGGAAATATAGTCCAGAGGTCATCGAATTGAATCGTACTTTCTCGCAAGCATACTTCCCGGGTTTTGAAGTATTTATCTAGTTTGGCATCGCCTGACGATCCACCCGAAAGTATACTTAGGAGAGTCTGTAGGTCTTCTCTGGCCTGTTTGTCTTGCTCATTCTTTGGGTCTTGGGCTGCTGCCTTTTCTAGCTCACCCCACTTGAAGATGAATGGCTCGTAAGGAGAATAAATAGTAACCGGTGATGCGCGGAATAAATGATACGGGTAGTCACCAAGATGCTCTTTCAAGAGCTCCCACAGCCCCAGATTGATTATGTCAATTTCAGAGCAGTCTTCTTCACCTGAGAACTTGTCATGTACCGTCTTTCTCAATATGAAGGCAAGGTCGCTAGTGTCTGGCTTTGAGTTTAGGGTTTCATCTTGGCGCTCAACACGCTCTCCTGTCTGAGGATCCTTAATTGTTTTGACAATTTTTACTCGAGAATGCAGATTGGTATTTTCCTTTGGTACAGAACGTTAGACCCAAGAGAGACCTCTTAGACAATGAGTAGATATCTGACTCACGTTGTCATCTTTCACTTTCACTTCGCTATCGGTAGTATCTGAAGACTTCTAGGTCTTTCCGTTAGGGTTCAAGAAGGTACGGGGATAGGTGATAGATGTCCTCACCTTTGAGCCCTCTGATGGGCCCGTTGCCCCATTCTCGCCTTGCTTTGTAGATTCTAACAGGGAGTTGTATCTCTGGTCTAATTCTGAAAGCCGCTTCTCGAGATCGAGAAGTCTAACCTCTAGCGCCTTAGGCCAAGTTAGTTTGGCATCTCGATGAAGTATGGATGGGACGATTCTTTACAGGCAACGCAGCAGATTCTGATGGTGCCATCACGCCGGTATATTTTAGATGCACTTCCTTCTAAATTTTGGTTAAAAGACTTGCTGGGTATGGCATCGGTGAGCGTGAGTAGATTAGCTATCCCCTATTGTAACGCGTGACAGCGCTGGAATTTCAAGTTTCCATGTGTACTGTCGAGTCTGAGGAGCGATGGGCTTGAGGCGACCCTTTAATAGCACGCTTCACTTCGGCAGTTCAGAAATGCTTCTGAGAGACAACGGTAATGGATGTTCAGCTGAAGATGACATGCATGTATAACGCAACCCCCTTGGCAATGCTTATTGCTTATAGATAACGAATTGCACTTCTGAGTCACACTATAATACCCCTCCTAGGACTTAATCGCCGACCCCAGTGCATGATATACTGAAATTTTAATTTATAATGTCACTGGATCATGGGTAATCACTTGCACCTAGGTACTAGGATGTAACCGGTGAAGATAGCAATATAAGCACCATCCCTATAGGTTAGGTATCTAATGCATTCTTGTCAGACCCCGACAACTATGCTGGTTTCTCATTCGATTCTCTTAGGTCCCCAGCCTTGTCGCTCTAATTATTTTTCAAGGTGCCTTCTGCCAAAATGTCTCAAGAAAAGGGCTCCTCGAAGGGCATAAAGCTCTTCAGCAAAAACGATATGTAAGTACCTACCTACGTTAGGTCACTATAGCTACCTACCTACGTATATTTGTAGCTGATTTCGAATTTAGGGCCGTGCTCGAGAAATCAGACCACGAACAGAAGAGATTGCGCGAATTTGCCAACACTCATGATAGATTTTCTGAAGAGGAAAAACACGCCTTGCAGCTTGACAGTGTTGATGCATTTAGCAGGATCTGGGTCAACACCCTCGACGCCAAGGGCGACTTCCAAGTAAGCCATGAACATGGCGTTGGGGCGACAGCCCAAATATTACAAAGCTCTGCGGACACGGCCGTAGTTATCCTACAGCATATCGAGCCTATCTTGCAACTTGTGAAAGATTTTGGTGCGCCATACGGCGGGATGGCCGTTGGGACTATTTCGTTTCTCTTCACCGTATGACTGACCGAAGCCGTATCTAAGTCAAGCTGAACAAAGATTTCCAGATTGCCCGTAACAGAGCCAAAATGGAGAGTGACATCTCTGACACGCTTTCTCAAATTCACGATAGAGTTGCTGGGCTAAGGCTCTACCGACATATCTATAACGATGACCACGAACTCGACCATCAATTGCAGTCCAATATCGTCAAAGCTTATGACAAGTTCATCGATTTTTGTATTGTGGCTATTAAATACTACTCCGAGGGAAGCATAAGTGAGCGCCCAGCTATTTAGGTTTGGATTTTCAACTGATTTCTAGTATCAGGACGATGGGCCAAAGCTTTGTGGGGATCATCAGTGACATTGGAGAATAGCGCACATGAAGTGCAACAAGCAATCGTCAACGTCAGGTATATGAGCGAGGAACTGCTGAATAAGAATGTTGGTGCTCTCAAAGAGCAGCTCGTTTGTTCGTTTAACTTCCCCCTTTGAATATGCGTATATTGACGTGTCGCTCAAGGCCTAAAGAAGGACATCAAAAGTATATCCGTCGGACTTGGGCGATATAGTTCTTAGGCAATAACTAAATTTCGGTAGGATTGCGAGAGGGACAGAATAGCGATCGTTTAGTCAGTATTAAGGAGCTGCTACATCTCGAAGGGTTCTCGATGGAATCCGAATCCGAACAGTTGCGGAGGTATCAATATGAGTTCAATGTGGATTTGGAACGTGGCTGGGATTACCTGGAGCATATGCGAGGATCCCGACTCGAGGAGTTCAAGAGTCACTTGGATTTCCAAGCATGGCGAGATTCTTCGCACTCCTGTATGTTACTCTTGACAGGATATAACGACCAATCGGTTCACTCAGCCAGACGCTGCTGGCTGTCTTCCATCGCCCTGGATACGATCGAGAACTTTAGGAAATCCGAACGAGGTGATCCGTACGCCTTCTATATCCTCGAATATCAAGAACACAGCCTGCTCCCGGTGCTCTCCCACGTTATCATCCAGCTGCTGACGTTAAATCCTCAGGCGCTGGAGAATGATAAGCAGTATGAAGAGTTGCGAGCGGAAGTTAAAAAATATTGTACGGCGCTTGAAGCCGAATCACAAAGCCACAATGAACATGAACATAGCGACGCGGTCAACATACTGCTTCAAAGGGTGGCGCTTAGGGTTCTAAACATGTTCGATCAGACCAAACCGGTATGGATCATTATGGATCGTGTTGACAATTGTAAATTAGGCAAGGTCAACCACCGGAAAAAGCTGATGAAGGCATTGGTTTATCTGCTGGAGAACGCTGCTGTCAAAGTTAAGGTTCTTGTCGTAGCCAATGGTTATGACTGGAAAGCAGACAAAGAAAGTGATGAGTTCGGGCAGAGCCGTCCTGAGAGTATAATCGTTCACACGGCCCAACAGAAGGTTATCAATTAGTTTATGTCCAATACACACCCCTTCCCCTAAACATGGAGTAAAACGAGGGCGAGGAGGCAAAAATGTAAAACGTACAACACCGGGGATTCGCTGGTCGTCACCGACCCAACTACTAATCCGGCGGTATCCGGCTTGTCTAGGGGAGAGCGGACGGGATCCCGAATTTTCCAGATCCTATGGTCGTACGTGATATTTCCAACTGTTTCGACGATATATATTTAGAATTCTGGTAGACTCGCGGAACAATAAGGTTGTTTTCATGCTGTTTGGTTCCACCTCGTGATACTTGCATTGATTTCTATTACTAGTTAGGACTAATCCTTAATTACACTACTAAGCTAGCTAGCCCCTAGCCCCTTTCCTTAATTAATGCGTAGTGCCCCTGAAGGGCGCGAGATTCGATAGAGGCGTTATGTGGGATATCCAGATACCATGTACCCTCACACGTGACCGTAGGTCACGTGTCATCCAAACATTCAGAGACATATTGAGTGTTTGGAAAAAATAATAATAATGTTCTTAGTTTAGTTTCAGTTAATTGAACATCATCATCCAACATGTCATAGGATATAAACTATGATACCTGAAGTATAGGTACCTTTATCACAAATTTAGCCTTACATGTACATGTATGTTGTTGGGATATCATTACGTAAGACTAATCACGTGGTGAGATTAGTCTACGCACAAAACACCACATCATTCTAGCTAGCCCACACTTACGTAACTTACCAATTACAACAACAGTCAATCGTGATAGCCTCATTTCGTGTCTCCTTTCGTATTCCCTTCTACTACCCTAATCCGTACATACGTACAATATGGACTAGACCTTGTCTACCGACATATGTAGTAAACAGCCTCTCCGTATTACCCAGGTAATCAGCTGAGCGTCCATAATATGGCGTGGGATCATGTCGAACAAACCGCTATACCACTAAAAGGTTATTTGGTAATAGATTCTATTCTATTATGCTTTATATTTGTATCGGACAGATAGTAATATCTGACAGATTATTTGTCGCTTAGTGCCACCACGTATAATTCAACAGGATTGATTGACATATCTGCATTGAGCCGCGATCACAAAATTTTTCATAAGACATTGGCAAGAGTAGGAATAGTCTTACGCAGGAATCCGGGAATGCATATGCATGTAAGCGGTGAAGCTTCGTGTGTGACTGAATACAAACGGAGCGGGGAAGTGGTTTAGGAGAGCATATGGTTGAAATGGGAAGACATTATGATGAGTCTTTGCTCCTTGGTGATTCATTTTTCTCCCCTCTTTTTCCTTTGCATCACCTGTTAGCATATTGATATTTCATATCGCTTGTCACGGCTGAAAATGTCAGAGTCCGAAGGGATTCAAGCAGCCGGCTTAGGCGACCCAGCTCTCCTCCAGAAAATCGACGAGTTGCGACGTTTGAATATCTCACCCACGGTGCCGCTAACCCAGGTAAGTTCGTCATGGTTTGTTATTATCCAAGTCTTGTATACAGCTAAACCTATCTCGCGAAGCTTGTTGTAGTCGGCGACAGGTCTACCGGCAAGTCTAGTTTTCTTGAGAGTTTAACCGGCTTCCCCTTTACACGAGCCAGCAAAGGCAGTACTAGCTATGTGATCGAGATCGTCTATCGAAGAAGCAATACGGAAAGAATTTTAGTATCTATGCGGCCTGCCCCTGTATGTGGATCATATATGGGTGGAAATCTAGGGAATAGGAATGCTGAGTTACGAGCTTTCAAAGCGGAACTCTTACCCGAAGACCGGAATAGCAAGAAATTGCAAGACCTGTTCGACCAGGTATTTTTCCTGTCCCGCGAATAAGCCTGACATATAGATTACCTCGTTGCTCATTATTTAATAGGCTTTTACCCTTCATTCGGAACGTGGTCGGCCTTCTTATAAATCAGAATTTGCCAGAGATGTCTTACAGATTGAGATAACCGGCCCCAGAGAAGAACATCTGACAATCATAGATATGCCTGGTTCGTTTTTTAGCTGCTATATCTCTTGGTTTTCTTCTAACTTCGTGAGCTAGGGTTACCTGATATTCCAAAGCAATGTGTGTCTCCCAGTTCGGGGCTAACCTAATACACTGACGGAAAATAGACTCCCTAGGTGAAGCTATTGATATGGAAGTTGAGTCAATGGTTGAGGACTATGTTCGAATGCCTCAAACAATGTAAGTGGGGAGTGATGCCATTTCATACCTATTCAACTACCTAAATATTAATGCAGTTTTAGCATCCTTGCAGTTGTATCATCCATGGATGATGTCAAAAACTGGCGCATTTCGAAAATAGTGGAAGATGTTGATCCTGAATGGAGGCGTAGTATTGTGATATTTACAAAGCCGGATCTCGTCGCACATCATACATCCAAAAATGCAATTGTCGATATGGTCAATCAGAAAAGAACTTTCTCAGATCGCATCCCCTTCCCAAGACATGCTTATCAGGAAAAGCCTTTGTTAGAACGCTTCATCGTCCAAAACCAAATAGGACACGCTTCGACCTCTGGCCCTGCCCAACATGATCACGCCAAGTGCGTATTCTTCAATAAGTCACCATGGGACCAATTGGACAAGGCCCGAATTGGTGTCGGCTCGGTTCGATCTCGGCTTCGAGAACTATTATTAGTAGATCGCACAGGTCGTTACTTATTCGAAGTCAAGAAAGAAGTAGCGGCTACCCTCGCAACGAAGAAAGAAAGACTGGAACTCGTGGGTGAGCCTCGTGTCGATACTGACAAGCAACGCACACACCTTATCCGCGCCGCCGTACGATTTTCAGAGATTGCAAAGCATGCCTCAGATACGAGAAACACTAGAAACCCGTTATCATCCCCAAGCCCCTATCTGTGTCTTGCATCCCTCTTGCAGGAAACCGAGAAAGGATTTGCCGAGATGCTATTTGAGAAAGGACATCATTATGAGTTTGAAGGCGAAGACGGTACAACTGATTTCCTATCAATACCGACGTACCGAAATGACCTTTACGAGATATCTTTTGTCATCCCTAACGAAAAGGAATATCCTGAGCTACACAGAATACTTTCTGAACCGTTTTCCTGCCCACGCGTTTCTAAGGGAGAACTCATCGACCACATTCGAGAGATATACTCGCCTTCTCCCAGATACGAACTCGATGTTGTAAGTTATGACTCACGCCACCGTGATTTGGTAATGCCTTGTGACATTTTATTTGAGACTCATGCTAATTGACTTGGTAGTTTGGAAATTCTCTACTACCCACAATCTTCAGGGAACAGTCAGAGAAATGGACTCCGCTTACTCTAGCTCACCTCTCAAATGTCATCTTGATCATCCACAAGTTTATTGACACGGCCATGAAGGCAGTCTTCCCGGATGACGGATTACGAGTGGAGTTGCAAAAATTTCTCTCCGATGAGTTCCTCGACTGCTATCGTCGTGCCATCAAGCATGCCGAATTCCTTCTGCACGTCGAGTGTAAGGGTAGAGTGGCCACCACTCACCCCAATTTCAAAGACCTTCTAGCCAACAACCGAGAAGAGCGGCAGAAGCGCATGGTGCGAGAAGGGGGCAAGGAAGTTTCTGAACCCTCTACAGGAAGAAATCGCGTTAAGGCGAAGAAGGATGCCATTGAAGCAGTACTGCCCTCGGTAGAGCATATTTACGGGGATGTACACGATGTAGTAAAAACGTACTACGAGATAGCTCGCGCACGTTTCCTAGATGGGATTCATCAGCAAGCCATCACACACTTCTTGCTGGATGGCGAACAGAGCGTTTTCCAGGTCTTCACCCCCGAACGAGTACTATCCATGACCAGCGAAGAGGTGGAAAAGATCGCAAAAGAAAGTCCTATCAGCACGCAAGCCAGGGAGGAATTGGAGCAGGAGGTTGAGAACCTGGAGAAGGCTCTCGAAGTGCTTGACGCCTAGATGAATACCTACGTAGATAGGTAGTCGTTAGAAAGAAGAGGCCTTAGGCCACGATAGTCTAATAAATGAATCAATTGATTCCATACGCCCGCTGTCGACATAAACGAAAAAAAAAAAAAAAAAATGTAGCATCCCGCTTCCAAGGGACACTGCATGAGTCGTGCCTAACGTCGGGCAGATGCATAAGATTTGATGTCTAATTCCGAGGGCGGACAAGATCATGCACATATGCAACTGCACCTACATGCTATGCCATGCCCAATATATGCATGCAGACCGTTAAGCCGTCGGAGATAGCCGCGTACCCAAGTATTCTTTTCTTCTGACATGCATAGGTATCCTTAATTTCGCGAATGAAGGTATCGTGAGTTGGCAAGGCGAAAATATACCTCATATAATACCTGCAGTCGTAGAGTAAATTAAGTTGCAATACAAACAATTAGCACTAACATTATATGACCCCCGTTCGCAACGTAGCCTCAGATTCGAAACGGCCCCGTCAGCCGCCAAAAAAAAGAACACACGCGCTAGACCCAAGAGATCGGGCACCAAGACGGGAGCCCAGAGCATCGGTAGTTGCTCAAGTGGGGACGAAGCAGAACATCACAGCACACAGCAAACAGCACACAGCACACGAACAGGGGCTAGAGGATTCTCGACACTCGCACTTTTTCCTATTCGTCGTATCGTATATCTATAACGGGGATCGATTGGGATACATGTTAGCTACCTACATATATGTACTAGATTCGAGGATCAACAACAATATCAACAAGAACATTCTTCTTTCTTCTTTCCAACATGCAAATAACAGGCCGTGACGCGTAAAAGGGGGGCATAAACATCAAAACAACAGTAGAGTAGTAAGTAGTACTTCAAAAAAAAATAAAAAAATTGAAAACTTCCAAACACCATTTGCCATTTGCCATTTCCCATAACTAAGAATAATAATAATAAGAAAAAAAAAAAAAAGTCTCATGCGCTATGCTGCTCTAGAACGAATTATTCATCTCGACGTGCCAACGAAAACCCCCAAGTTTCCCAGTAGTAATAATAGTAGTTCCGTCCCGAATCTAGGTAGGGGTATATAACGATACGCCGTCGCCATGCCTGTATACGACAAAGGAAAGTAATGAAATGAAGGGTGAGTATATATGTAGGTTAGGTAACCCAAGATATGTATGTGTGTATGTGTGTGCATATATGTATGTGCGTATATGTATGTAAGGTCGAGGAGGGTAGGGTAGGGTAAGGTAAGGTCGAGGAGGGTAGGGCAAGGTAAGGTAGGGTAAGGTAGGGTAGGGTATGATGCGAAGAGTTTGTGGAAAAGATCTAGCCCTATGCGGGGTAACATTAAGCTGCCTCTCGGCTCGCGAGACGCAGCCGCAGGACCGGGGGGACGTCAACGGCTCGTCAATGGAAAGTCCCGGTCCAGTAAACGTAAAGCAGGCAACAACCTGCATTGGTGATGGCTCGGGAAGAAGTAGTCTTCGGTAGTAAGGTTGTGCGACCACGGCGTGCTCCAGCTGTTGAAATCCGAGTCCCTAGGTAGAGCTGCGGCTTTGGTCTCGAAATCGCTAAGCTTGGCTTCTATATTGTGGAGATATAGGAGGTCAGGGCCGGCCCACTCGTTGATGAGGTTGGCTATGCGTTGGAATCCGTTGGTGTGGCCGCCGCACTCTTTAGATTGAAAGCCGCAAAAGACGAATAGGTAGCTGTGGATGAGCTCGTGGATGAAGGTCGAGATGAGCAGACGCCTGTTGTACCTCTTGTCCTTAAGAATGCGTCGCGACAGGAAGATGAGCGTCTCGTAGCCATCGGTGAGTGGCGACCTCCTCAGTGCGGTGGTGCCGATGAGGCAGCTGGGTAAGTCCCTCCACGCCCATGCGACACGACCCTTCAGTTTTCCGTGGAAGAAGATTTCGTTAGCCGCGTAGAAGATGCCCTGCAGAGCGACGTCGTCTATGTCAAACTCGGCCTCGGGCGACTTGGGACAGATGAGGCTCCTCAGAATCCGCTCGTGCTGGGAGACCCTGCTCCTCCGGCGAGGATCCGCGAGGTCGGCCGCGACGAGCTTGGCCGCTTCGTCATGGGCTTGGTCAGCGTGAGTGGGACGGCTCATGGCGGGCGAGTCCGAATGCACCCTGTAGTGCTGGAAAGAGCCAGGCCGCATCGTAGATTCGGCGCGGTGGTGGGCCGCGACGGAGTTTTCGACCATTACTTGACCGAGCCCGGATGAGCCGGGGCCGGAGTTTCCCTCCTTAATGATGAAGAAAGCCGGACGGGCCAGGGTCTGTTCAAAATCCATGGCTTCGAAGGTATCGGGGTGGTCGACAAACCGGTGGCGCTTAAACGGTTGAAACATTTTGTTGAAGTCATCCGGAAGGCTAGAGAGTTCAGAGTAGCTGGGACGGCGCTTCTTGTGCTCGACGTGCTGACGACGTCGACGATATGGGCCGTCGGGGAGAGATGAGTCGCTTGAGGAGCGCGACATCTCCGTCCCTCCGACGTACCAGCTGGCCATTTGACATTTCTTGAGAAAGGTCCTCGATCAGTGTTGAGAAAGACGAAGTCGGACGTGGTACCACCCAGAGGTCGCGGGTGAGATGGTAGACGATGTGTAACTCGGACTTTGCTGTCAAACTGTCAAAGGGAAGACTTGCGAATCATCACCGAGTTTTTTTAATTCGGAATTCTCGCAATAGAACCCATATACCTAGTAGAGGGGGGAGGGGAGCTGAGCAAAGTCGACTGCAGGGACGCCACGACAATCAATGGTCGTGCAGGATCCCTCTTGGGAAGATGCGGCGTCGGGATTGGTGTCTATTGACACACGCAACAGCGGCAGCCGGCTAAGCTGGGCTGTTAGCCTCACTCTCAGACTCTCCAGGCAGGCTGGGTTTGTGCCTGTTAACTGGCGGGACGACAGCGATATGTGGAGGTCTTAAAGGTTACAGCCCTCGGACAAGGCAACGCCAGAGAATCCACTCCTTAAAGAAACGTCCTACTACCAAACACCTGCTTGGACGGTTGGAATCTTGGCTGACGAATTTCGAGTGTCCGAAAAAAAAAAAAAAAAAAAAAAAAAAAAAAAAAAAAAAAAAAAAAAAAAAAAAAGCTGCCCTCTTTTGCGACCTTCTATGCCCTGTGCCTACGCTACAGACCATCCGTCTTCTCCTCCTGTAAATTTCACCCACCCCCACAGCCCAAGTGTTTAAGAGCCGGACGTAATAGTGGAGAAAAAGCAAGGGGATATTTTTGTTTCGATAGGAAAAAAAGCTCTACCTAGTCGGGTAGATCGTCGATGGCTGGTACATGAATGGATCCCGTGAGGAGCCTTGGGGACGGAGGAAGCGGTGAAAGGAAGATTACGAGACGGAGAGCCGAGAGAAGCTAGAGGGACAAAGAGAGAGAGAGAGAACCCATATGCAGTAAGTGCAGCGAGTGCAGTGGCGTCAAAACCGGTCGTCTATCCTACTTGCTTAACCTTACCTCTGCTTTACCCATCGTGGTCTCGGGTGCCGGGTTAGAAAAGTCTGGTGCGCCAATGCCGGGACGAGAAGTGTATTGTACAGCGAATACAAAAAAAAAAATACGGCAGTGTGGAAAAACTATCCCGAACTTGACAACGCAGCAAGTAAGCAGAACGAACCGTGGTTCTCGGCATTACGTGCCCATCTCCTTGGGAAACCACTTGGAAAAACCACCTGGAAAGAAATACATACAGGTCCTACGTACGAGACAGAGACTTGCCAGTCTAGAACCTGAAGATGCGCTGCAATCTACGCGGCGTAATGCAGTGTGCGGGTGGCAATTCGATGTGTACTAATGCTGAGCGACGCCGGGAGTGGGAAAGACGCAAGTCTTCTAAGACATGAAGAGGCGAAAATAGAAATGATTGGCTGTTCTTCATGCGACGGATTGCTGGCATTAAATTTTTTTAAAAGTCCTTGGTAGTGGCAGTAGTGGCAGTAGGAGCCTGTAGGAAGCCTGTAGGGGCAGGTAGGGGTAAGTAGAAAAGGTGGGGCCCAAAACCAGAATCGGACACCCCCCTGTCCTTGTGCTAATTTGGATCAATTTCCATTGGTTACAGCAAAGCCCGCCAAGTTGAACCCGTCCTCTGATTTGTTGCCTCACGTTTTTCAGTTGGCTTGAAGCGTCAATCAATAGCTCTGATGCTTAATTGTTTTTTGTTGAGGCTAACAACACACGTTTCCCATTTTGGATCATTCGAGAGACATTTATGCAGTAAGATATCCATGTGAGAAGGGAGAAAGGGAGGAGTGACGAAACAAAGAACGGTGAAGAGAAGGGCAGAAAATAGAAGGGAAACGAAAAGCCAAGTCACGGGATGCCATCGACAACGGCAGAACGGCTGACCCATTCATCCTCATCCCTATCACATCCACTTACTAACGTCCCCCGTCTTGATCCACTTGACACCTTTCGCCTCCGGGACCTAGCCAATGATCTATAAAACATCGTGATAAGATAACGCAATCCGCCTCGATTTCCAGTGTTTCATCGCTCCTCCGAGACTGCCGATCCCTTCTCGTCCAACGTGGGTAGTGAGATCATGACTCAAAACCTCTGGCTAAGTAACCAGAAAGAATAACGTCAAAAAGGATGGTGCACCTACCAGCATAATTGTTAGTAGACTGCGCCAGTTATTTTGACACTATTCTGCCAGTCTGCCAGAGATCATGGTAATCTAAATCTGCTAGCTGCTAGTCCGCATCTTCATCTGTGTGACGTGGTTAAATCCCCTTGCTCGATATATAGAGTGTACCATCGAAGCGGAGCAAATCAGATGCTAATGTTTTAGATTCCGCTGTGGAGGCTGCCAGCCCCGAGGTTCTGTACGAGCCGGACGTCTCGAGCCTGTCGTTCTAGCGCTAGCCTCATTCTCTCGCCGTACATCTGCTCATCCTCCTCTGCTGCGATATCTTCCGGCGTCCTGGTATTCTCCTCGAAATCCTCCGGGGAGAATCCAGGCTGGGACGAGAAGCTGAGCAATCCCAACCTCTCTCCGGTCCAGAAGAGAATATCTTCGTCGTTGGCCTGGATTTCGCCGTCCTGTCCGGGTATCCGCGTGGACAGGATCTTTCTCGCGATGTCGTCCGACCCGGGCATAGACCCGAAGAGCGAGCGCTGGGCGACCCTTTCGGACTTGCCGATCTTGTGACGGCGCACTTCGGTAAAGCCGTCCCTCTCGACCCACTTTAGATATCCTTGCCCGTCGGAGAAGACGATTCTGGTGCCGTGATTTATGACGGAGAGGAGCTTCGACTGCGAAGCCGTCTGCCGGTTCTTCAAGGAAGACTTCTGGATGACCGGCTCCCGTGGTGAGTCGTCCGCGCCAGAGGACAGGCCGTATAATTCGAGTGATCCCTTGGTACTATACTCGCCGCATGCTATTAAGGTTCTTCCGTTGGCCGTGCTCTTCCTCTTCTCGATCGGTTCCTCGGAAGGTAGGAAGCGCTGGCGGAGATCGCTGTATAGAGTGGCGAAAGGGAACGGAAGCGATGTGAGACTACAGAGCCGCGCCCCTGAATGAACTGATCCCTTGATTGCTGGAAACATGCGCCTGTCGTAATGTAAAATATTTGAGAACCGTCCTGCTACGAAGATATCGTCCGATAGTTGGCTGTTGTCCGAGCGTCCGAGGTGGAGAATGCTCTGAGGTCCTGACTGAGCAAGGGAAGCGTACGGGGCCAGCGGCCTAGGATCTAATATGTGGGAGAAATTTCGGCCGCTCTTTCTACTAATACTATCTAATTGCATATGGTGTTCGCTTCGATATTCCGATCTCGCTCTAGAATCGTGAAAGTGTAGGCCATGGATCGTACCGACTGTTAGTGGGACGTTGGGATCGGCAGCCGAGAGCGTAGTAATCGACCATTCGAATGGGCAATCCTCCACAACTTGTAGTGTCTTGAGGTCGACCTCAATAAGATCTACAGGGGAATCAGCGACCGTCTTAGGTATCATCAGAGGGGAGGGACTTACTGCTCTGGACAGCAAAAAAGGCTACATGATTTACGCTGTCAATGCTGACGCATTCAGTCACCCCTGTATTGATCATCTTCGAACGTCTTGATAGATCAGCGCCCGGACCGTCGGCGCACAGGAGACCGGGGTTAGATTTAGACAGGATTGACCCCTTCCTGCTTCGGGTACCCTTTACATCCCACAAGCAAACAGAGCCATCATCAAGTGGTGATACTGCAAAGAGCTCGTTTCCGCCTGGTGGGTTATATAAAGCGATTCCACTAGCATCCAAATGGGTTCTTAGAGAGCCTGTCCGAACATGGGGCTGCTCGAACCAGCTAACCGCGATAGGTCCATATCGATGAATGTATTCGTTATACCAGTTCGTCTTTTCGTTAGGAAATGTCGGATCCCAGTTAGCGGCAATACGAGCTTGTTCCCGCTTCCTCCTCCTGGACGATAACTGAGATAGACTTTCGAGCCGGTTCCAATGCACCTCGTTTTGATCATCTTGTATCTGGTTCGCTTGTCCCGCAGTTGTAGGCGCGCCGCTCAACGTCGCGCCATCTTCGTCGATCCAATCAGAGCCCAGTCGAGAGAGCCTAATGCGTTCGCTCACGGCCGAGGCGGATAAGCTTCTGTCTCTCCAGAAGTTCCCATCTCGACATAATCCTAAGAAATGTTTCGAAGCGCTTTGGAGAATAACGACGTCGCGCGATTCTAGAACTAATGACAGATTCTCTGTCAGCGAGGAATTGAACCTATTGGAAGCGAAGTAGAATTGCGATGGCAAAACTCACAGGAAAGAATGTGTAGGAAGATCTCGTCGGGAAGTTTTTCGAGCAGGCTGGCAACAGTCATCGTCCGCGGACCGCAGGAAATTCTAACTGTATTCTAACTCGTACAAGGCGCGAAACGAAAATATAATTGCAACAAGCAACGAGCAACTCACAAGACAAGATGAGTATACTTACAATAGCTAGAAGAAGCAAAGAGATTTAATTAGCTGAATAATCATGAGTAATCTAATAAAGATAGGATCGGAGGAGACTTGAATACTATGTAGAAAATCCCCTCCTTAACCTATCGGGGCTAAATGACGAAAGCGACAATGATCGATGGATCTAGAGCCGTCCCCGCCGTTTTAGCTAAAACACCACTAACCCACAGAGGCAAGTCAGGTAAAGCCTACAGGTCCAAATAGGGGGGTCGCGGGTTTTTATTTGACGCTCCAACCAACTCCGACGATGTTACCACACCAGGTTAGCTAAGGCCAAGGCCCGAATCTTCGGGAAGAGGACCGTGCATTATTTAAGTGGTTCGCTTTACTCGATAAGGTGTGGTTCGGCATTAACTGCATTATCATCAGTCTATCAATCAACCAGGGATGACAAAAGTGGGGCACAGGTGGCAAGGTTTACAAGCTAAGCCACGCGTGGCGCATTATTTCCAAACGACATCAACGAGCTTCCAGAGTTTCTTTTACGCAGGGTCAATATATAGAGTCGTCAAGAGAAAAAAAGGAGATGCCCTGTATCGACAATAATATTAAGCATCATATTCTATGCTTATCGTTCACATCACTAGTATACTAATAAGTATAGTTAACAATATCATATCAATGTAGCAAAGTGGGAAGATTCTAGAGGAGTGAGGATAAAAAAGGGTTTGCCAGTCGTGTGTCTTAAAGGATATGCGTATTTGAAAAGTAGTAAACGAGGATATTGACATTTGATTATCCATACCATATTACGCTTTCTGACACACCGATGCCCTTCAATAGATATATCTTGCTTAGGAGACTCGTTATGTTGAGGTCCTTGGCTAGTATCATGCCTGTTATCATGAGCCAACTTGAAGCCTAGCTTTTACTCAATAGAGCACGAGAAACGTTTTATATACTCGAATCTAATGTGAGAGTTTAAACAAAATTCTTCCTTTCTAGCTCCTTTAAGATCATTGAACCCTTTCTGAGTCTTTCATATAAACGTACCTAATTTACATATGTTTAATCACACAGTATCTCCTTTTATTCCTACAACGAGAAAACACTCATGTCACAATTTGCATA